AAAAAAAAAAGTTTTTTTAAAAAACCTTCAAATTTGAAAATGCAAATGTTAATAAAATATGATTACATACATCTATTTCTTTCCAAAAGGCTTCAGCAGCAGTCTTGAGAATCTTATTGGTTTTCCATTCCTCTCCAATGTCCAAGAGCCGACCATACACAGGTAAACTGCAAGACAGATTAACATCAGCTCCTTGTAATGCCAAAGTAATAAAATCCACACCATCCAAGAATTTATTGATTTGTTTGATGATATCCCATTCATCGGTAGTGAGATGGATATCATGTTTCGTAATCTTATATTTAATGTCGTAATCAACTGCATCTTTGATCCTGATGAATCTACTAGTCATCTGAAAAGCAGATGACCAACGGATTGGGTTCAATACTTTTGGCTTTAACCTGTCCTTCTTTTCAGTTTTTAGAATTTCGAAAATTCTAAAATTTTAAAATTTTTTATTAATTATGTAAAAAAAAAAATTATAATTGTGTTTCTTACCCAAAAAAAGCATCTGTTTGGTTACTGGAGTTTCTTAAATTTGAACCATAGGAGTGAATTTTATCGAAAAGATATTTCGTTGATTTATCTCCTATAAATGCTTTTATTGCTGAAAAAGAAGGGTTAATAAATTCAATGATGTATAGGAACAAATTGTTTGTTTAAAACAAAATATTAATATTTTAATATTTTTTTTATTTTTATACAACTTGAATAGCTAATGTATTATTTTTATTATATTCACTTACCTAAATTAATCACATGGTTTAAACATAAAATATGTCCACCCTGGAATCCTTTGTAATCATTGGAAGGATCTTGGTTTTTGACAATGTTCTCCACTGTAGTGTGGTTGTTCGAGCAGTTGTCAGAAGTGGTGCACATTATCTTTTTGGAGATATCAAACTTTTCTATAACATCAAAAAAAAGTTTTGATAGAGTTATACCTGAATCATGTTAATAAAATAATATTTGATTGAATTAATAAATTGTAAATTAAAAATTCATTTTACAATACCTACCTGTTTTATCGCTTTTTAGGCTCTCCATTCCTAACAAACACTTTCTAGCTTTAAATTGACTATCGATCCAATGACCAGTTACACCCAAAAAAGAGATATCCTTGACACTCCAGATATCGAAACAGAAACTGATTTTGGAATCCATAGTCTTGAAATACTCTCTGAGTTGTACAACTTGATCATCATATCTTTTTATTATTCTATTTTTAATAGTATCTCCACCAACTAAATTGAACTCTGGTCTTAACGATGAAATAAAATTTTTAAATCTCTCATCCTCTGTTAAGTTGAAGGGAAGATTTTTTTTGATTACTAAATCTATTAATAATTCCCTATTTTAATATAGTTAATAATTGAATATTCAATTTAAGATCATATATACATACTCTGATACACCTTGACTAAAAGGTTTTGATATAGCAAGTGCAAGTGTTTCTGCTTTTTTCCTTTTTTGTTCTGCGACATACGACCAATCTATTTCACTTTCTTTGTGGCAAGATAATCTCACATCTATAAAAAAATTATAGAGAAAGAAATATAATAGGACAATCAGATCACTTGAAATTGTTATTATTTTGTTAAATTTAAAAATCTTACTCTCAAGATGTGCCCATCCTAAACCACTAGACACTGATTTTTTGTCTACCTTATCGTATTTAAAAGTAAATACTTGACAGTATTTACACTTCATTTTAATTAAATTCTTATCATTCGAATCTATAAATTTAAAAAAGTGTTCATAAATAGAACTATTATATTTATTGGATCTTTTTTTTATTTCTTTATCAGATGAACTATAAGGGTGATATTTTTCACTCATTTTATAACTATTATAAAATTAATTATTATTAATAAATTCTAAAACTCTAACACTGAATCAATCAAAAATTTATAATTGTAATAAATGTGAAATCAAAAAATAAATTTAAAAAAAATTCATAAATATTGTTAAATATTTGATAAATATTTTTCAAAATCTTGAATTTACCTCCCCATCGCACATATACCAAATTTATGATCAAAGTTAGTGTTTGAAAACATATTATTCAAATAGTTACAAGAGTTAAATAATAAATCAAATAATATCAGTAATACTATTGAAATTAAAAAATTTATACTACATTTCACATGTGAATATGTATGTCATATATCATATATAGTTTATAAAACGTTTTTTGATTTTAATCACTTGACTTTATGTATTTTTTGGTGTATTAGCAATTTAAATACTATACACCGACTACTATATAGTCTCACAGACTGTGATATAACTATTTTATTATATATGTAATTAGTCAATGACTGTATGACATATAGTATGACATATGTAGTTTGAAATTTCTACACACTGGTATGTTTTTCAAATAGATTAAGTTAACCAATTAAATTCCGTACAAGTACAACGCACCACGAATCAATTCAACTCCTAAACATTCATTTAATATCTTGATCCTTTTATAATGGTATAAACAGTCAATGAACTATATGTATATGAAAAAAAAATAATTTGTTTTATTTGTATTTTTCAAAAAAATCATACAAATATGAATATATACATATGTATTTTTGTATGTCAAAGTGAAAAATGTGTTAATTAGTGTTATTATAAAATTAAATAATTCAATTCAATTATATCGTACTTCAATTCATTCACATAGTGTTGTTATATTAACATTTAATAATAATTTTATTGATATAACCGATCGAGGTTTAGAAAATTATTTAATTTATAGATCTATAAATTTAATAAAGTTTATATTTATTTAATATTTATATTAAAATATATTTGATATATATTTATAATAAATATTAAATATTCAAATTTAATATTTGAGTTGAGTATTTATTTATTATATTTAGGAGTATTGCTCCTTGAGAACCTAGTGCATTTGCTACTGTTGAAATTACTTTTTTATCTTTTAACCATTGATTTCCTTTTTTAATCCAATCAAGGAAACCATCTCCTTGTTGTGTTCGTCTAGTTCTTTTTGGTGGCATTTTTAGAATGTGTATATCTTTGAAAAATATAAAATAAATAAAAATTTAATTATTCTTCTTTAAAGGATAGGTCTTCATTAAAATTTTTACCCAATTTAATATCATTTCTATCATAGAAAAAGAAATTAAATGGTTCTTTGGTTGAATATTTATAAGCAGTTATCCATTTTTTATATCCAATATATGAAGGGTTTTCATCATATATAGTTTCAAGAACATCTTCAGGTATATTTCTAAATAATAAAATATAATCTAAATTTCCTTTTCGAATATCTGAATGAGTATCTTTCCAATTTTGAGAACTAATTATTACTTTCATCCTAAAATGTCTATGGATTTTCATTAATTGTGGGATCATTTTATTTTTTAATTCATTTGATAAATCATCAAATATTATGATATATTCCGGATATTCATATTTCTTTTTTATATCTTCATCTTCTTCATCTTCATCTTTTAATCTATTGATTAAAGTTTTTAATCTGTTTTTATTCTCATCATCAAAAATTGAAGTAAAAACTATATTTGAAATGTTTTTTTTATTTAATCTTTCAATTATTGTAATCCAATTATCATCTTTATAAGCGGTAGCACAAAATATAAATACTTTGGTATCAATATCAGCACATTCTTCCAATATTTTATTTATAACACTTGTTTTTCCAGATTTCTTTGGAGCACAAATAAAGATATTTGCAGAATTTAAAGAAAAAAGATCATCTCCTAAAACTGGTAATTTATTTTTAGAACCACTATTTAATGGTTTTACTATTATATTATTTTTTTTATAAACATACATTTAATAAAGAAAAACAAATTTTATTTATTTAATAAATTATTTCTATAATGTACTACAGTACTAAAGTCTTCACAATTATTATCGGTTTTAATAAATCTTCTTTTTGGAGCTGATTCATTTTGGGTTTTTTTATTTGAGAAAATAAAATTTGATATTTCATCTAATTTTTCTAAAATATGGTTATTCTTTTCTTTATACTTTTCTATTTTTTTTTGTTTTTTTTCTAAAACAAGCATATCTGGGATGTTGGTATTCACAACTACTTTATCGGGAATAGGTTTCTCAATATTTTTCTCATCAACTGGTAAATCGTCATCCAAATACATTATTGTATCTTTTTTTTGAGCTTTTGCAGCTCTAGCTTTTTCTAAATTTTTAGAAGAACTTATTGATCTTTTGTCCATCATTAGAATATTACTATTTATATAAATATAATAAATAAAAATTTTAATAATAAATTATACTATTAAAATGAATTTCAATAACAAAACTTTATTTTACATTGATTCTGCAGATAGAACAAATGGTAGTAGTTCTAATTTTCAATATCATTTAGAAGATTTAGGTTTCATTTCCACCATGAACTATGATAGAGTTGTAATAACACAAGCAACCATTCCGAAATCTTTTTACACAATAAGAAAGAATCTAAATTCTTTTACATTAAAAGAAAGAAATAAAGAAGTTTTAATATCAATCCCGATAGGTAATTATTCAAGAACATCTCTACAGGAAACCCTTTTTCAATTACTAAATCAACTATCTCCCAATGGATATAAATACACCATAAATTGGCCTACATCAAAACAACCAAACGACGGAAAGTTTGTTTTTACCTGTAATGGAGAAGGAAATATATCATTTAATTTTAAAAATCAAATGTATCGTCATCTAGGTTTTAATAAAGACTCAAGCAATTTATTTATAGGTGGAATTTTAAAATCATTAAATGTTATTAATCTTCAAGGAGATAATGTTCTTTATATTCATAGCGATATTTGTACCAATGGAAATGATGACATATTGCAAGAAATTTATGCATCAAGTGGCATTCCTGATTACTCATATATCTATTGGAAGAATACAGATGTTCAATCATATTGTAAAAAATTAAAATCAAATAAACAAAATTATTTTAATTTTTATTTAACCGATGGAGATGATAATATAGTAGATTTAAATGGAGTTGATCTTAATTTTACTTTGATGATTTTTAAACATGATAATAACTATGATTTACAAAAAGATTTTATACACTATCAGATTCATAAAGAGATTGAGGAAGAAAGAAATAAATAATAATTTTTATTTTATAAATTTATAAATAATATATAATTAAAAAAGAGAACCATTCAAGAAAGACCTAAATGTATTCTGTATCTAATGAAATAAATTATGAACCTGCGGGAGTTTCAGAACCATCTTATAAATACTTAATAATAAATCCACAAGATAGCAGCTCCACTTTTTTAAACACAGGCGGAAATACAACCACTTTTATTCTATCACCCAATACAGCATTTAATCTATCTAGATCATGGTTGCAATTTACCTTGACTATTCCTGCCGGAGGAAATAATTTATCGCCCTATTTATTTGCAGACTTTATTTCATTCTTCCAACAAATTACTTTTGGTAATGGAACCCAAGCATTTTGCTCAGACATTAAACAGGCCCATATACAATCAAAGATGACTATGAAAATTAATAGAAAACTTTCAAAAACATTAAGTAGATATTGTGATTTGCAAGTAAATGCTGCTGGTGATAAAATCACTTTTACACCATGCTTTTCATCAAATAAACCAGCTGACCAAAATATAAGATATGATAACTCACATGGTGATAGATCTTATACTGAACCTGCATATTTGATTGCTGCAGACACAAATAACCAACCCACTACGGTAAATGTAAAGATTTATTTTGCTGATATATTTGATTCTATTTTTGCTCTGGACAAAGATCTATGTTTTTCTGAAAATATGTATGTTGTTTTTACTTGGAATCCACTTTCATGTATAGGTTTCTATGCGGGAGATGACCCAACCGAAAATCCTGCTCAATTAAATCAATCCAATATTACTAAATTGGAGATACATTTAGCAAATGAAACCAACAAAAATATCACCAATGATTTACTAGAACAACTTGCATCACCTCAAGGATTACAAATGATAATTCCATATACCCAACCATATAATAAACTTACTAATGGTAGCTCACAATCATGCCAATCCCGTTATAATGCAAGCAATGGTATTACACTTGATAGAATCTATTATAGTATCTTTACTCCAAATAATGCTGCAAACCCTAATCTATCTGTTTATAACAATAATTTGGCCACTAACTTTATTGATTATTTCTCTACATCTCTAAATAATGAACCATTGACTATTTATAATGTATATCCAAATAGATACGATGACTTTGATATGAATAGTAAATTACTTGAGGGTACTACTATACAAACACCAAACATTAATAACTATAATTGGACTTGGGTTCAAGATTTTGGTCAAGGAGTTTCATCTGAAATCTTAGATAACATTTACAAAGGTATTCCGCTTACTGGTAATGATGTACAATTCGATTTTACTTGCAATCTTGTGGCTGGCCATGCTGATAATCTACAACATCAAATTGTTGCGGTAACAAAAAGACGTCTATTTATAACTGATGGAAGCGGAGGAAAACCAAGATTGGCAATAATATAAAGAATCAAGGTTAATTGCAAAAATAAAAAAATAATATTTTTATTTTTTGATATATATCAAAGAAAAGCTGTCATCCACCAAGAACGATAACGATGACAAGAACAATAACTCAAACTAAGATAATTACAGGCTACTTTAGCAGTTATGAAGATGATAAATCATCATTGTCCATACCTATTAACTTTCCTTTTACCCCAGATCAAATAACTTTAATATCCTATGATATATTAGTAAATCTTGAAGATCGGGCTGATACACCTATCGCACAACTTTCTATTCAAACAAATTTGCTAGGAATTGGTTCAATTGTTACATTGCCATGTGTTACAGGAGATGGTGAACAATTTACTGCCGCCAATATATATACAAAACAAAGATATCAAAATCATAGTAATATAAATATAAATGGTACATATGACTTTAATCTGATAGAAATTGATACAAACAATCAACCGATCAATCCAACTAACTATAGAATGAGATTTTCTTTGGTATTAGAGGGGAAAAAGACAATTTAATTTATTTTAATAATTATTTTTTCTTAAGTAAAATGACAGGTTCTAAAAGGAAACAACGTTTGAGACCTCCAAAATTGTACAAAGATTATAAAAATAGAAGGTATATAAAAAATGGTAAACACAAAAAATACATTGAATCAAAGAAATCCGATAATGAAATAATAAATGAGCTTTATAAACGTGCTTTGCTCACTAGCCGCTTCGAACAAGATCAGATGCCTGATTTTAATCTAATTAGATCGATTAATGATAATAACTTTAGAGAGTTGGTTTTAAGGAAAACAATTGATGATAAAAAAATTGATCAACCCATTTTAGTGGAGATTGATCCTATCATAAAAAAAGAATTGGATGAAATAAAAACATCGATGAACAAAAAATTAAATATTGATAATAATGATAAATTAGAAAAAATACAAACAAGAGCAGAAAAGCAAAAACAAAGAGATGAGATGGCAGCAAACTTAGCATTGACTAATGAGAGATTGGCAAAGATGGAGTTAAATAGTTTAGAAGCTAATCAAAAAGATGATGATGAATGGCGAAGAAAGTTTGAAGTTGCAGAGAGAAAAGCAAGAGAAGCAGAAGAGAATTTTATTATTATTGAAGATTTAATGAAAGTAAATAAAGAAAAGTTTGAGAAACAAATTATAGAAGCGAGACATGAAGTAGAGAAAGAGCAAATAAAAGAACAGATAAATCAATTCATTAATAGAAAAAATATAACTGGTTTGTCGAGCATTCCATTAAATAACCCATTTGAATCATTCCAATATTATACTAAAGATATGAATGATAAACAAAAAGGTAGTGTAACAAAGAAAAATGAAAAAGGATTTGCTCAATTACTCAAATCATTCAGTAATCGACTAACCACTGATAATTTTAATAATATCATGCATATTTATAGTCAATTAGAACGATCAAGAGATTACAACAGACGAAATGATATGTTAAAGGAAATCTATATGAGCTTCCAACCTCAACCAAGGAATGTAGCACTCCCTGTCGATCTTGTTCAACCACCGCAACAACAAGGTGGAATGTCTATATACTATGAACCAGATCTCGAGATACCCATCATCGGCGAAGGTGATAGGAATGATCAAAAGAGGTTAGAAGAAGGTAGTTCTTCTGATGAAAGCGTGATAGACCGTCGCAACGGTTCAGGGTTATATGATTACCAGATTGAAGAGATCATGGCACCTTATAAAGATCGTGGTTTTGTTGGCGTTATCCCAAGCGACATGGTTAGTTCACTTCCCGCAAATAAGAAGATGTCGTTCATAATGAATCTTGATCCATCAGATCAACCAGGTAGTCATTGGGTTGCATGTTATATAGATGGTCGGGATGACCGTATCGCACACCAAGATAAAGATCGGAGCGTAGTAAGTGACAAGACGCTTGAATATTACGACTCATTTGGCGAAGAACCCACTGATGACTTCATGAAACAAATAAATAAACTTATTAAAAAGATTAAACCTGAAACTTATCTTAAATTTAAAGTTAATAAAATTATCGATCAAAGATCAAACTCAACGAATTGCGGTTATCATGCAATCAAGTTTTTAATAAACAGATACAATGGTCATCCATTTAAAGATTGTACAGGGTGGAGTGATATTAGTGTGGAGGAAAAAAAAGCCAATGCAATGAAAACATATTATAAAAAATTTGGTTTTATTTGAAGCGAAACGACGCTTAAATATTTTATTAATTGATTAGAGTGTTTAGCCTTTGTTAAAACAAAGTTACCAAAATGCACCACGAGGAGGTACACTCTTTGCATTTCAAAAAATCCCTTAAGTACTGGATACCACCACAGTACACATGACAAATGATACTCCCGATATGATGACAAATTGATTGGATACAGTGCTTCTGATTTGGACGACAAATATGGGTACTACAGATATGGACGACATATTGACCGGTTTAGACAGCTTAGATTGAAATAGAGACATGACATGGATTGACTTGCCGCAATACGAATATTTTGGCAAAGAACAATTTAGTTTAGTAAAGTTTGCTGAAATGTTATGTTTTAATCTGAGTCCACTTCATAGTTGCTACCAAGATTCAGAGAAGAGATATCCAATTCATCGTGGAGTGGGGCTGGGAGTACTCCCTTGCTATTCTCCAATGAAATCTTATTTTCCAACTGTAAACATTTCGCTTGATAGATATATGGCTTCATCGCGTTGATTTGTACATGGGCATCACACAGAGTTCGTTCCATTAATAACTTTGTTTGCACACCACTTACAAATTTGACAACTGCTTGTTTGATCTTTTTGGGTCCGGCTTTCATCTTCCTGTCATTCATGACTTGCTTACATTTAGAACAATACTTTGAACCTTTGGCAGGTTTTTTAACACAACCTTCGGGTCGTTGGCAAAATACGACTGGAGTCTTACCAACATAAGGTGGGAGAGAGTTGGTTTGAGTGGAGTGTGTCATGTGTGTACTTAAGGGAATAAAATATTTATATATTTTTAGAACAAAAAAAATGGTATGAATTTTTTTTTTAATTTTTTTTCATTTTATAGTGGAATTTTTTTTTAATTTTTTTCATTTTATAGTGGAATTTTTAAGTAGATTTTAGTAGATTCTAGTAGATCTTAGTAGATTTTTGTTTTCGATGATCACTACTTGAATTCTCCCAAAACTTTCTTGAATTTTTCAATGATTACTTTTTCTGTGTAACCCTCATATTTTAGATCGCCTGGTGCAACACCTATTTGAACATCATCAATCGCATGTGATTTACCTTTTGAGTGGGTGTTAAAATTTAATTTTTTAGTTGAATAAAAGCCATCTGTGTGAACTCTTTTAATATAATTATTAACATCATTGGGTTCACATTGTAAGCCATTTATCATAATTTTACTGATCATCGATCTTCCTTTTGCTATTATAAATGGTTTTAATCTTGCGAAAGGGGTTTCATACACATTGTCGGTATATGATAAAATTATTTTATTTGATCGTTCATGTGGTACTATGCTTTCAATCTTTTGATTATTATAGATATAAACAGTACTCTCAATCATATGATAATCATCACCCTCTTCATAGTTATCCACACCTACAAATGATCTACTTTTGTTTGATGATCTATTGATAGAATCTTCTTTCTTAAACATACTATCCATACCTGGATCATAGATTGTTTGTTTTCTTTTTCTCACAAGATAACCCCACAATTGAGCATACATCATTTTATATTCTAATTTAACATCATCATCTGTGGCATTCTTTATCCAATTTAATATTTTTTCAATTAAATTACCAAATATAATATCACAACTAATCTTCGATTGAGGATCCCATTCTAGTACATTTGCATTGTTATCATTTATTATATTTATTTGTAAACCCAATTCTTTTGCTCTAGTAAGATCAATGTGTGTGTAATAATCATTTTGATTGAATTTAAATAGTCGTTCTTGGCCAACCTCTTGATTGATTGATGCATGATAAATACCATATTGATAGAATTTTAAATTATTAAATTCGTCTTGAGATAGTTTTTTGAATGTACCTCTTTTAATTGGAATATGAAATCTGTAATCTTTCATTATGCACGCATACATTGCTTTATAATCATACTTATATAGTGGTCCTTCATAGTGATCTACTGAATATATCATCGCAGACATTGTTGCTTGTTCTATCCAATAGGATTCTTCCGCACTTACATCTTCAATCTCAATATCTTTTGGAAGTGTTTTAAGCAATAAATGAGTTGCTGATTGTCTTACATTACCATACTTATAGTAGTTAACTAAATCTTTAGTTTCTTTTTTAATAATATCAGCAACTCTTATAAATGAGTTGTATTTTTCTTCCATCTCATCAAGAGATTTACACTTGATGAATAAATATGGTGAAGACATTGTTTTACAGGTTTCACTTAAATGAAAGTCAAAATCAAATTTGATGTCATTTTGATTTATATCTTCAAAACAATTAATTTGATATAATTTTCCATCATAGAATGAAACAGTAACATCATCACGGCCGTGATGTCTAAAGTAGGCAACTGGTTTTCTTTCTTTGAACGAAATACCCTTTGCACTCAAACGATTACTTTTGTCAAGAGTGTAATGACCATTGCGGAGGGATAGTCTAATTGTTCTTGATTTTTTTGACTCACCTACATAGGTATGGTCACCTGAAACAATTATTGAAGGTTTTTTTGGTAATAATTCCTCAACCTTGTGTAAAAGATCAATTGGTACAGGATCATTACGTTGTAAACCCAATTCAGCTTTAAATTGTTCAGGTGTAAGTTTGAGATCATCCGCATAGACTTCTTTCAAGCAATCATAAAGGCAGTCATTTAAGGTCGTTCTTCCGCTTTTGGCACCTCCAGCTCTTGTTCTGTCAGGAATTACATAAAAAGTAAACTCTTGAAAACCATCGTCTGGTTCATCGAGCATTCGATCAGATCCTTTTTCATCATTCAAGACATACAAAGATACTCTATTTCCTAATTTTGTAAATTTACTATTTCTCCAATTATCATCAAATCTTAGTGCCAATTGAATTTCACCTCTTTCACCCCTTGCATGCAATCGATTGCTTAGTTCCTGAGCCTTTTGCTCAATTTGTTGTCTGGTAACAGGACCTCCTCTTGATACATATCGATACTGTCTCATTTGCATACCAAATCTTACAAGATTAGTTGGTTGCTCAACTCCTCTTATTCTTCTATTCATTTTTCAGTTGTATGTTGTTATTTAATTAAAATATTATTAATATTAAAGTAGTAGTTTATGACTTGTAACTTTTTATATATATTTATAGTTTTGTAAATCTTTAATACGAATTTTCAAATGGATTTTTATAAAAAGAATTTAAAAAAAAATGATGAGAATGAAGAATTATCAAATTTATTTAAGATACCAAAAAAAGATAATAATAAAACAACACCACATATCTTAGAGTTTAAAGAAAATGATAAACAACAAGCAGATTTATTATTTCTCCCAGTTGACAATGGTTATAAATATGCATTAGTAGTAGTTGATTTAGGTAGTAGATTAACAGATGCAGTAGCACTAAAAGCAAAATCGGCAGAAGCAGTTAAAAGTGAAAAGTGCATTTATTGAAATCTATGAACGTCGCATAATTAGTTTACCAAAGATGATACAAACAGACCCAGGATCAGAGTTCAAAGGAGTAGTAAAGAGATATTTCGATGAGAAAGGTATTTATATTCGTTATGGTCGGCCTGGTAGACATCGCCAACAAGCACTGGTTGAGCAACGTAATAAGATCATAGGTAAGTTACTCTTTATGAGAATGACTGCAGAAGAGTTACTAACAGGTACTAAGTCTATATCATGGGTAGAAGATCTTCCGCTTGTTATTGAAGCTATCAATGAAAGATACAACAGAGATAAAGAAGAAAGAGATAGATTAAAAAAGAAAGTACCAGATAAACCATTAGGTGACGGTCAGGATTTATTAAAGGAAGGTACTATTGTTAGAGTACAATTAGATGAACCTATAGATGTCACTACAGCTACATTAACATCGGCGATTACAAACGAATCAACAACCACCAAATTGGCAGGTAGATTTAGAGCATCAGATATTCGATGGAATCCAAAACCTACAAAGATAGATAGAATATTATTAGAACCAGGAAAGCCACCAATGTACTTTGTAATTTCACCACCATACATACCATATACTCGCAATCAATTACAGATAGTAGAACCAGGCGAAAAAAAACCTCATCCATCAACTATTCGTGGGGAACCAGATGAATACATTGTGGAAAAAATATTATCAAAAAAGAAGATTGGAAATAGATGGTATTATCTGGTTAAATGGCGTGGTTATGATGATCCAAAAGATAACACATGGGAATTGAAAACAAAGTTGATGGAAGATGTACCAGATATTGTTAATCAATATGAACAATTTGACGACTTTGTGTTGAATATTTAGAGACTGAATTTATTTACATTTGATAGCGACAGGTAATTACCTTTCTTTAATTTTTCATTTTCTTTTTTCTAACTCTTCATTTTCTTTTTCTAACATTTTAATTTTTTGTAACTCTCCAAATGATAGATCTTCATAGGTGTCAAATCTGCTAATCATGTTATTAACTTTATAGATTTGAAGCAATTGATCGTGTGTGTAAACAAACCAATTATTCTTTCCGCTAACACCTCCACGACACATCTCTTTGGTTTCAATACCATACTCGCCCAAGATCTTTTTTGTTTGTGGTTTTGTTGGACATGATATTTTCTTATTGGTACAGTATTCCGTAAGTCTATCATAGAATTCCTTTAGTGTCATTTCTAATGCATTCTTTTGCAACACAAAATTTTCTTTTATAAATTGTAGTGGTGGTCGAAGATGATCAGATTTTATATCAGTTTTGGTTTGGGTATCTGGTACACGATTAAATTGTTTAACAAGATCTACATTATCAACACACCACCAATAGAATGCTTCACCAACTGCAGAAGTTAAATGATTTGCTGCCAACCATTCAAAATAGTCTTTATTATTCTTGAAAATATTAGACACATCTAGAATTGCATAACGTCTATCATCATCTTCAATTTTAATTGCTGATGTATTACTGGTGATAATAAATGATAGATGATTATCAATTGTTACCTGGGTTTTAAACTTATCATTAATCACAATATTGCTACCAGTAATCAAATGTTTAATAGAGTTACTTGTTTTATTCCATTCACCTGCAGAACTTGTTGGAAGATCTTCAAGCGATATTAATATCTTTCCCGCTAACGGACCATTAAATGATCCTGGTTGTACGATTGATGGATCTTGTGATTGGAATACAATTGATTCACCAAGAACATGATCACGAATAAAATCAATGATAATTGATTTACCTGTTCCTTGGCCAGATTGTAGGTAGATGGCAAGCTTTGGACGTCTTCCGGCAATTACACTAGTAATCCAATACTTAACGAAATCAAATTGATCTTGATTATCACTACACCATACCTTTCGGATATGATTTAAAATTACGCCAATTGATAGTTTCATACGGGCAGCATACTCTGGTTCATTCATTTTAACATTAAATGAATTTCTATCTGTCCACTTATATCCTGCAAATAGATTAAACATATTTGCGCCATTTTGAGTATAATACAATGGTTTATTTGGATTCATACCGCTAATATAAAACTCATCATCTTCTTCAAAGAACCAATCTGAAGCAGAGAAATAAAATTTGTTATTCTTTAGATCTTTGATTAAATGCTTATCAATAATCTCTTGCTTGGTAAGATAGTTAGAACAATTTTCAGTTGGTGACCACATCATATGTTTTGATCCGTTTTGAAGCTTCATAAAGTGGGTTTTAATATACTTCTTAACTTCTTTAATATCATTCTTGGCTTTTGCAGTGTGAATCATTTCCCTTAATTTAGATCGATCAAATACAGTGTTACATTGGCCAAATAATCCTTGTCGTTCTTGGTCGACCTCCGCTTTCACATTGATACTTTCTAATCTTTCATTAGTATCATTAATTTCATAATTATCAACAATATTATTCCAATCATAGTTCTTTTCAACAATTGTGTGTGTGATCTTTTCCTCCTGTACTGGTATTGGGTTCAAAATTTCTCTATTTTGTTCGATAAAATTTTTGAATAATTCAACAACTTTTTCAGTATCCATTTTTTTTCTTCTATATTATTATATATATTTATATTTTTCTAAATGTTTAATACGAGTTTCCAAACTCGACCAAGGTGACACCTCTTAAAAAAAGAATATTTATCAATTTATTTTTTATGAACTTGATACAAAAAACATTTTTTTAGCCTGCTCTAAAGTTAAATAGTGAACCTTCCCTTCGACCATTTGACCATTTTCATTTTCTACCATTTCAACGAAATGGTATTTTTGTCTTTGTTCTTTTGAGTTAACATTACCCATTTTTTTTATTACTTTTATTTATATAATTATAGTTTTTCAAAAGTTTAATACAATGTTGTTCTTGTCCCACATCTTTTAATGATTATAATTATTTGATATAAAGTTGATAAATAATCTGTGTTGGTCTTCGACCAGTGGCTCCCTCCGCTACGCTCCCCCCACAACGCACTACGTGGCCGTTCTTCTTAATCAGACAAATGATCAAATGATAGATCAAATGAAGAGTATTCTCAAAAAGGGAAACTTTTGTTAATTAAAAAGTTTTCCATACATTTTCCATACCCTAAATTTCGATGGATTTAACGATTCCTCTCTTAATATTCAATAGGTATGGAAAAATTATGGAAAAGTTGAAAAGTTAATAAAAATATAAAAGTTAAAAAGTTACTAAAAAATGTTTTCCATAATTTTTCCATAGTGATAGATAGGTGAAGAGATAATAAGGAATAGTGTTAAAAAAGTAAGATGGAAAACTATGGAAAACTTAAAAAGTTATAAAAGTATCCATTTTTGAGTTACCTGTTAATATTTTGCGAAGCGTAACCGAAGGTAGCAGAGCAACATATAGGGAGCAGAGCGACTATATATGACACACACACACACACACGATATATATATTGATCTTTTTATATATTGAAACAAGATTTCTTATTTGAGGATTAAAAAATTAATAATTTAATTATTTAAAATTAATTTTTAAAAATAACCAAATTTGAAAAAGTTCGAGTACAAAATAGGAAAAAAAAATTCAAATAATGGCTATCCTTTAAGAATGACTCTCATTTAAAAGTTCAGAGACTGAAGAAACTCTTTGAACTCTGTGTTCTCCAAAGTTGAAAATGGAATATTTGACATTACTATATATCTACAACATAAATAGTCTGAGTTTGTTGTGAGTTTATTTGGTAATAGTGATTGTTGTGCCAATTTGCAGCTTTTTGTATTCAAGTGCTCTCTGCAATGCTGGGCTGTATCTGCTGTGCACTCTTTTTTACAAAAGAAACAAATATTTTTGTTTTTTTCGCTCTTTTTTGTAAAAAACTGTTTAACATCACTATAAAGTGTGTTTTGCTTCAAATCCTCACCTGATTTATCTTTTATACTATTTAATTTAGATAATAGTAATAAATTATCCATATTTATTAAATAATTTTATTAATTAATTTTTTTCTAAAATCTATAAAATGAAAATATTTGCAATTATTTTCATTTTTTTGCTCACTGAAAAGTAATGAACTCACTGAAGGGGTAAGTTAGTAAACGTGCCACTAACTAACTTGGACTCACTCAAATTTGAAAAAACCAATCCCCAGCCGATGTTCTGCACAATGTCCGTCACACAATGTTTTGAAATTTTTATATGAGTGTTGGCAAGTTAACTTTGAAAAAAATTTTGAAATTGAAAAATTACTGTGGTGGAAGTCGAAAATTAATGTGGGATGGTAAAAAAAAGATTAAACTGCTGTGACTATCATATAGTCAACTATTCTATTCGACTATTAAGGATACATATGCTGATTCTATTATTATATTAATTTCATTACAGATTTTGTGTAAATTCGTATATGATAGATTCGTTTAATATATTAACTAACATATTAAATTCTATAAACTTTTTTGTAAACAATGAAATTAGATATTATAGGTGCATTTTACAAAAAATTGATGATTTATTTTTCTTTCTTTAAATTTCTACGATTAATTAGAGTTGATTCAATATTACTAATTGAAAGATTGGGAATTTGAGCGATTGTGAAAATATCTTGTTCAATATTCGTATCTAAAAAGAATTTGACTTGAACAGTCATCAATGAATCTACTCCAAAATTCTTTAAAGGAGTTTCCATATTGAGTTTATGTTTAGGAATTGACAACAAATTTGAAAATCCATCTAAAATAATCTCAAGTGGATTTTCAATCTTTGAAATATTTGATTTGCCAGTTTCACCAACAACCATGTGATCAATACTATATTGTATGTGAGGATGTACTTCATATGAACGAACAGATGTTACATTACATAAAATTGGAGTACAATAAAGAGTTTGAGAGAGAATAATTTCAAGACCTCCAAAGAATATTGAAAGTGGAATTGGATAAACACCTCTAGTGATAAAGAATTCTTGAATTCCAGCAGATTCAGCAACAGTTCCTTCACCAAGAATTGGACCTAATCTGATTGATTTAGATTTTAATCCAAGTGTATCATTTCTATATTTACATAATGCATCAACTGCAAGACATGCTGAGTTGTATCCAGGTTGTGATGCTTCACCACTAAATCCTGAAATCGAAGAGAATACAATGAATTGTTTCAATGGTAAATTGAGATCAATCGATAGAGTATGAAGATTATGTGCTCCAACAACTTTTGGATCATGAACTTTCTTGATATTTTCGAATGTCACTTCATTGATTGGGAACGATTCAAGAATTATTGCAAGATGGAGAATTGTCTCGATTGGTGGCATTGAATTTGAAATTGATTCAATTCTTGATTTCAATTCATTGATATCGGTGATATCAGTTTGATAGAAATGAATTCTTGTTGATTTTGTTGAATTGATAATTAATTTCAATCGATTGTTCAATGTCGATTTTGAAAGAACAACAATATCAGATGCATATGTATTTTTTGCAAGCCATGGAACCAATTCAAGAGATAATCCACTTTGACCAGTGACAATGATTGTATTTGAAATATCAAGTTTGAAATCATTCTTTGGTAATGGTTTTCTATCTTTTGATTCTATCAATGGTTTAAGGATTGATTGTTGAATGTTTGAATTATCAATTACAATTTTACCAATTTGTTTTCGATCTTTCATATAATTGAATGCATCTTTTGTTTCCAAAACATCAAATACTTTGATTGGGGTCAATTGAAGTTTACCACTAATAATATCATTGAAAACTGTTGACATTAAATCTTTACAATACTCAATTCTATTGTAGAATAAATATTTTAGATCCAAAGTACTATATTGAATGTCTTTTTTGAATTGACCAAATCCAAAAGTATTATTATTGAGAACATGAGTAATAATTAAATCAATGATTCTTCCATATTGTGCCATTGACCTGAAATTCTCCTCCATATATTCAACAGGTAATGTATTGATGAGAACATCGACACCTTTGCATTGTTCTTTGATTTTATCTGAAAATTCGTGGGAATATGAATCGAAAACATCAATTAAGATATCAGAATAATTTGATTTGAGATAATCAATCTTTTCCTGAGATCCAGCAGTTGCATAAACTCTTTTACATTTCAACATTCTCATGACATTCAATGCTGCAATTCCAACACCACCAGTTGCACCATGAATTAAAATTGTTTCTCTCTCTGCATTGAAATGGCAAACTTCAAATAATGAATGATATACTGTTGTATATACTACACCAACAGAAGCACATTCATTATGTGAAAGTTCTTTTGGTTTAAAACAGAAGAAAGATTGATCATTGATAGAGTGTGAAGCCATACCATTAAAAGTATGTGCTGAAATAACTTCATCACCAACTTTATATTCTTTGATATCACTTCCAATTCTTGAAACAACTCCAGTAGCTTCATGTCCAAAAGAAGGATGATAGATATCACCTCCAATCATCATTTGTTGGGGAAGTAATTTGAGATGGAATAAATTATCTTTGAAATTCAATCCAATTGATTTAACTTCAATCTCCAATTCATTGGGTTGTAGCTCTCTTCTATTCTTTAGTTTGTAATCAAGATTGATATTTGCCATTGTCAATATATTTTCATTATTTGTTTCATATGCTTTGGAATATTTGAAAACATCATCTTTGATATCTCTTACTCTCAAAACCATTATTTCATTATTGATTATCAAATAACTGTTTTCTCCAAGTATTTCTTTGTGTTCTGACAGTTTAAGTATAATGTGAATCAAATCTTTGTTTAATGAGGAATCAGTATCGATTATCAATAAATCTAATTCCCTATGATCGACAAAAGCTGTATTTAAAAGTCCAACAATGGAATTTGATAAATAATTTGATGATTCTCTATCTTTGGAAACAGCAATGATTCTTGGTTGTTTGTCTTGATAAGTGAACAATTGTAATAATTGGACCAATGAATACAAAGTTTGTTGATATATATCTACCATTTGAAGTTCAATAGTTGGAAGGAATAGAATTTGAGTTGAATTTTGAAGAATATCCGAATGAGATTCAATTTCATTTGATTTAATCAATGAAATCGATTCTTTTGAATATCCTTCAAAATATTCAATGGGAATTGTTTGGTTCTCATCAATAATGATTGATAATTTTTCAATATTATTAACTTTGAGTGATTTGATTGATGATTTCTGAGTATGAATGATAAACATATGTCCTAAATCTGGTGAAAGTTGATTTCCATTTGAATCATTTGGTCCATAAATTCTTGTATTCTTGAACTTATTATCTTCAGAAAGTAATTCAACCCATTGATTTGGTTTGAGAGCACAATGATCACGAATATCATCATTATAACTCCAAAATTGTTTAAATCCACCAAATAATATATCTGCAGTTACAGATTTATAAGCAGGTTCTGCAAATAATAGTATTCCATTTGGTGAAAGAATTTGATGACAATTTGAAATTGGAGATCTGATATTTGGACAGACATGAATAACCAATGACATTAGAATCATATCATATGATGATTTCAAAAGTCCTTGATCAACTAAATCTTGATCCAAATCAATTACTTTGAATTTCATTTTCAAATTTGATTTGAATTTGTATTCATTTGAATATTTATCTTTCATTGGACTGACAAAGAAAGATGAAACATCAGAGAAAGTATAAATAACTTCGACTTGATTCTGATCACCAAGAGAATATAACATTTCATCGAGTTGTGGAATCAAATAGTTTGTTACTGTTCCAGTTCCACCTCCAATTTCAAGAATCTTGATGATTCTCTTAGAATTGGATTGTTTAATTGATTCCAAAATTGATTGAACAGCAATGAATGATGTTTGTTTGAAATAGTATTGAATGAATGGAGCTTTGTATAGATTCGAAATAACACCATCTCTGAATAATTGTTCACCATACTCATCATTTCCACGCAAAGTTTCAATGATTAGTTGACCTCCTTTGAAAGCATTTTCATTTAAAGAAGCATCATATTTGGAAATAGATTCTGGAACCTCTCTTATATTCAAATACTCCCTACAATCTTTAAATATTTCAATTACTCTTGAGAATAATTTGATATTCGTATCATTTGAAATGAATTTGAATTTGATCATTGATTCTTCAATTGATTGATTCAAAACTTCTTCAAGATTGAATTCTGGAACTAATCTTATGAACATTACAAAAAAACATTGGGTAAAATCTATTCTAAGTTCATTGACTTCGAGACAGGCCAATGATTCTTCAATGAGAGGTGATGGAATGATATCATTTGGATTTGAAAGTGTTGAGTCTTTTGGTTGATAGAATGTATCGAAAAGTTCATCATTTGGATATTTAAGTTTTTTCATTTTCAATCTTTCATTTGTTCCAACTGTGAAATTCTTCATTTCCAAAATTAATTTACCATTGGGATCAACAAGTAAACAATTTCCAATACATTCATAATTATTGTAATCAACAATTCTTGTCAACAAGAATAAATGATCTGGAGGATTTGATTCCAATTCTTGAAGATTCTGATAACTGATTCTCATATCATCAATTGATTTGAAAATGAATTGTCTTCGTTCGTCAAGAAAACCAATTAATCCGTGAGCACAATTATCAATCAATGTCGCATCGAGAATCTTTGAAGGTGTATTTGATGTTGATTTCGTTTGTAAAACTGCAAATGACATTTGATTTCCAATGGAAATCGATTTAATATGTTGGAATGCAGGTCCATATCTCAATCCAACTCTGGGGGTTCTCTTGTACAACTCTTCTTGTGTGAATGTTGTCAAATTACATTGATTCTTGAAAGATTCAATATCGATTATTCGATTGTTTGATTTTGAAAGAAGTGTAACTTTAGATTTAGCAGATTTGAAAATTTCATCTTCTAAATCATAAAAGTCAGAATTCTTGTTGTAGAAATCAATTGAATATTCCAATTTCGATATCTTTTCAATATCAGTGACTAATTTTAAGGATTGTCCTTTCTTCTTTTCTAAAAAGAATGGTACCATAAATTCTAATCTATTAATTAGAATATCTTGTTGTTTCGATTGGAATATTTCAATGATTGCTTCAACATAAGCAGCACCTGGAAGAATTGGACGATCTTTTACTTGATGATCTTTCAAATATTGGTATGGTTTCCTTTCAATATCAATATCCGAGATATAATTTTCATTTCCATTGAAAACTGATTTTATTCCGAGAATTGAAGTTGAAGGACCATTCAATCTTTTGAATTTTGATTGATGTGATTCTCTCCAATATAAATCAGAATCCCATTGATATCGAGGAAGAATTGAAACATTATCTCTCCAAATCGGATTTGAAATATCAAATTGATTGAATTGTGATTTGAAATCAATATTGACACCAATACAATGAAGTGTTGCCAATGATGATTTGAATAATAATTGTTCATCTTTGTTTCTTTGAATTGGTGAAATCACTTTTGCAGATGGAATTGTTTGTGTTATCAATCCAGATAATGTTGGATGTGGTGATATTTCAATGAATACATAATCTTTCAAATCACCTTTGAGATCTCTGACAATTGAATCCAATGTCTTCTTGAAATATACTGGATTTCTTATGTTATCATAAATATACTGTGAAACCATAGGATCTAATTTTAGATCACCAGTTACAGTTGAATACCATGGAATCGTTGATTGTTTTGATTTCAAATCATTGATTTCATTGATTACTTTATCTTTGATAACTTCTTGATGTGATGAGTGGAATGAACATGGTGTTCTGAGGAATGTGTGAAAGATATCTGATTGTTTCAATTGTTTTGTGAATTCATTTAAATTATCATTGTTTCCAGTGATTACAATTGAATTATCAGAATTATAGCATGCAATCTCAAGATTTGGGAATTGATTTTGATAATTCTTTTCGAACTGATCAGAACTGATTCCAACAACCAACATTCTTCCAGATCCAATTGTTTCATTTTGGAATGATGCTCTCAAATGAACAACTTTGATTGCATCTGATAATGTCAAATTTCCAGAAATATATGCAGATGTGATATCTCCAAAACTAAAATAGTTTTTTTAATTTAATAAGTATTCTTTTAACTTTAAATAAATTTAAAAACATACCTATGACCAAAAACAATTGATGGATTCAATCCCCAATAACGATAAAGTTCAAACAATGCAACTTGGAACAAGAATAACGCAGGTTGTGCAATGATTGGTTTGTGAATATCATTTGAATCATTTGGAATTTGTTTCATCTTTTCAATGAGACTATATCCAGAATATTCTTTGAGTAATGAATCTAATTCATCAACTGTTGATTTGAATATTGGTTCATTCTCATAAAGATTCATTCCCATTTGATTCCATTGTGGTCCTTGTCCACAAAATACAAAAATCAATTTCTTTCCAATTGAATCTTTGATTGGTGATAGACCATTAATCTCAACTGATTTTGAATTGAAATCATTCCAATCTTTTGCAATGATCACTCTTCTTTGAGAATGGAATGACTTGGTCAATGATTGATAAAGTGCAAATTCTTTCAATGATATTCTATCTTGATATTCTTTGATTGATTCAAAATATTTATCGTTTGATGTTGATGAATTTGCACTGATTGGAATCAAATAATATTTATCATTATTTTTAATATCATTTTGATTCCTAAATTTTTAATTTGTTAATTAGTAACATTAATTTAATTTGTTTAATTAAAAAATACTAACCATTTATTTTTATCAATTTTATATTCTTGAAGAATGACATGACTATTTGATCCACCAATTCCAAATGAATTGATTCCCATCATGATCAATTGATCATCCGGAAGATCTTCAGTTTCAGTGATAACTTGAATATTCGATTGTTTGAATGGAATCTTTTGATTGAAATTATTCAACTTGATACTTGGAACAAGTTTACGATTCTTTAACATCAATGATACTTTGATGAGTGATGCAACTCCAGCAGCACTTTCAAGATGTCCAATATTTGATTTCACAGATCCAATCTTCAATGGTCTCTCTGGAGAATGATTTGAAGAGAATACATTGATCAATGCATTCACTTCAATTGGATCACCAACCACAGTTCCAGTTGAATGTGCTTCAACATAATAGATTTGTGAAGCATCGATATTTGATCTTTGAAGTGTTTGTTTGATATTCTCAGATTGAGTTGTACTTGATGGTGTTGACATTGTATCCTTGTTACAATGACCATCGGTATTGATTCCTCTTCCTTTTATGACTGCATAGATTCGATTCCCATCTCTTTCAGCCAACGAAAGTTTCTTCAAAACAACAACACCACATCCTTCACCTCGAACAAATCCATTGGCGTCTTGATCGAATGGACGACAATGATCTGCAAGAACACCAATATTATCATACAATCTGGTTGTATTTGGATCAAACAAAGCATTAATTCCACATGTCAGAGCAACATCACATTCACCATCTTGAATGTATTTGATTGCAAGATCTGTTGTTGTCAAAGATGATGAACATGCAGTATCGACACACATCGATGGACCTCTGAAATCGAAACAATATGAAACTCGATTTGCAATCACAGAATGTGTGAAGAAATCGCATAATACCTTTGGTACAGTGTCAATTTGGCATGGGCCATTTTGTAATTGGTGGTAATCAATAAGTGATACACCAACAAATACACCAGTATTTGATGATCTAAGAGATCTCACTGGGATTTGAGCATCTTCCAAAGCTTCATAAGCAAGAGTGAGCATTATTCTTTCTTGTGGATCAAGAATATCAGCATCCTTTGGTGATATCTCAAAGAATAACGGATCAAACTTTTTCCATTCATCGAGATCCACCAAACCAGCATTTACAGTTGAAATTAATTCATGTTCATGGAAAGTCTCTGACCATCTCTCTTTTGGGACTTTTACAATTCCATCAAATGATTTTTCGAGTGACTCCCAGAATTTTTGGGGTGAATTTACTTTTCCAGGAAAACGTAAACCAATTCCAACAACAGCAACATCATTTCCAGATGTTAAATTAATATTATCTATCATTTCTAAAAAAGAAATTCTTTATTCTTAAAACTATTATTTATTTGCAATTGATAAAAGTTGCAAATGTTTAATATATATTAAAATAAATTAAAAATAATAATCACTAATTGATTTCTTCATCAATATATACTCCGTGTGTTTTACTTAATTTAATCCTGAATTTTTTATCAAATAGTATATTTGATTAGATGTATTGTTTTGAACATCAATATAGTAAATTGGTTTTTTAAGCTTAAATCATTCAAATTAGATATGATTAAAGGAAAATACCTTTATTTTTTTTATAATTTCAAAAAGTATATTGGTGGTATCTTTTAAAATTATAAAATGTTACCACCAAAAAACAAATAATTTCCACCTCAAAATACATTTTGTATTTAATCAAGTATCTTGTTGATTTAGTGGTGTGTTAAAAAGTTTTTAACAAGGGTTAATATGATTAGTGTGTTTTTTATTTAGTTTGATAAATGTTACAGGATAATTGCTAGTTTTGCATTGTGTAATAAAAAAACAAATGTTGTATTTCTTCACTATATATGGTTCAAATTTAAATTATTACTACCCTTTTGTTTTCTATATTTTTAAAATCATTATTGGAATGACACTAATGTCAATAGAATAATTAAACAACAAACAATAATTAAAGAAATTTATTACTATAACAAGTGTAATTATTTCATTTTATCCCTCCCCCAAAAATGAAAAAATTTTGCACAGATTTAGTGGCAAACATAAACCCAACCGATAAAATGAAATAACACACATAAGATAATCTGTAACATTTATTATGACCAATGGTTAAATACAAGAAATAATAATTTATATTGTAAGTTATTGTTATTGGTAATAGTATGTGAATGAGATCATTAACAATAACTCAATAATTACAAATGTTCAGATTATTAGTGATCACAACCAATTCGTGGAAAGAAGTAAATTATAATTACTTTTCAAATTAATACTCTTTAAAAATCATAGAGGTGTAATATATAATACCTGTTATGAAGATCAATTGATTGGTGGTGAACTGTTTTAATTAATTAATTAATGAGATAATAATTGCATCATTTATTACCGATAGTAGTAAGGATTTAACTTTTTGTACAAAAATCACTTGATTGGTGTTTATCAAATCTAGTTCTATTGAAAATAATAATTTTGTTGCGCACCTCTACAAAAATAACCTACTTCCAAATGACTCTATCTGTAATGATTTTTATTATTAATAACAACTTTGGTAACTTAAAATCCATATTGCCACAGAATTCCATTCTCTAATCAAACATAAATATCTCATGTACTATAGTTACAGAGTTTGTGATTGGAAGCACCAGTGCTTCAATCAATTTTTGCCATTCTATTGCTTGGTGATACAAGCTGAGTTGTTTGAAAACCTATGTTAGGCTAAAGTTTGTTTAATTCAAATTTTAATACATATATTATTTTATTTTGTTTTATTTTAATTAAATACATTTAAAAAATTAATTTGTTTTATTATTAGAATACTAAATTAAATATTATTTTCAAAAATTTAAAAAGGTATCCAAGTATTAGGAGCTATGTTCAAAAAAGAGTCAAACATTTTCTTAAGTTGTACAACTATTTACCTAATTTTAATATTAAATTTTGGTAATAGTATCAAGATAATAATTATCGTATAGAGGATTAAAATGTGAAGATATTAAATGTTTGAATTGGTTTATTTTACCATATGTACAAGCTAATATAGTGTTGATTTTAAAATATTAGCAATATTTACATTTTGTGATTTATTTACAATTTATCAATATTCAGTTGCAGCAACCTTGATCATAATCAATAAATATCGAGAACTACAATACCAGAGAATAACAGAGATGACACTGCCAACATTAATGTGAATGACGTCAAAGGAAATGAAGTAAAATTATCACCTGGAAGTTGACCTTTATATATGGATTATATAAAGTGGATATTAATTTTCATTTGCAATGATCGAATTGAGAGAAAATCTAAACTTACCAAAGTATTCCTGTAGATATTTAACAGGTGAACCATAAAAGTATCTGAATATCATAGTCATTAGTATGACAATGTAGAGTACAGACAAGAGAATTCTATGTGACAATGGTAGATTCAGTAGCAAATCATATGCATATCTCGTTATGAAATAGATAAAGTATATTAAAGCACTCCATCCATGTTTACTTATTCTTATAAGTTTTAAATAAGGTGTCATTATAATTATTACTGATCTTTTATCTTATCCTTTATTAATAATGAATATTTAATATTAAAAACAATAAAAATGAAAAAAAGTTAAGATGAACCTCTCATGATTGATTAAAAAAAACAATGATATATTTTTTGTGTTTAATTAAAAAGGGGGTGATGGTTTTTATGATCTTATTTTTTTAACATAACAAAAACTAATGAAAAAAAGTCATGTTACAAATTTATTTTAACCTTTTAAATATTAAAGGTCAAGGATGAGCGGATTACTTTTTCAATCTATAAAAATTTAGATAGTTTTGTTTGTAGAGTAAAAAGTTAATTAAAATATATTCTGTTATCACTTGATTTGATTTAAGATTATTTTAAAGAGATCGATATGGGATAAAGAAATGTTCTTTTTTCTTGATAAGGACAGAGAATCAAAATTTATAAATTTTGATTTTTTTTTTTAAAAAAATACTTTTATTTTATCTCACAAGCGCATAGATCTAAAAATATTAATAATAATAATGAACCAAAAATCAACATATCTATCGGAATATGTGAAATCAATTCTATTGGATAAACAACAACAAAAACAACAACAGCAATCAGTCAATTACAATAATTTTAAGCTTAAAGATGAAATATTAGAATTGATTTTATTCGATCTAAAAGAGTTTACAAAGAATAATCAAAATGAGTTAGATATCAATTTGGTAACTCATTATTTTAGTACTGCATTGAAGCTAAGAACATTAGGTGATACAATTCTAAATGATATAAATCGATCGATTGAAATTGAAACAACATCTTCACTCCTGAATCAACTTCCATTTAAAGGATGGTCCGATTCCAATATAACAATATTAGATGATGTAACTATTAGATTTAACCAATTATAACAATAATATCTAAATTAACAATAATATCACACAATAACTAACATCATATTAGTTAATTATCATTGATAAAATAGGTGATTTCATTGCAAATTCAATAAGATTACTATCCACCAATAGTAGTAATACTACTACAATAGTATCATCAAACAATAACTATAACAACAGTGATATTATATTGTATTCATCGATTTTAGCATCTATAATGGAAAGACTTCTCGGTAATATAATAAGATTACAATATCTAATGGAATCATCATCGTTGGTATACCAGAGTTTTAAAGCACCTGCAGATCACAAAATGCTAAGAGATATACTTGAAGATAGATATTTAGAGAGAGCAATCGGTGTGAATCTCCTATGGCTATTGAAAGTAATCATTGGCCCACCAATTGGAATCAATCTACGAAATATCATAATGCATGGTTTCATCTCGCCAGAGGAATATGACCTGTCACTCATTCTTCTTCTATTCATCATTTTCTATCAAATAGTAGATGATTTCAACCAAAAGATAGCTTCTTTCTCCTCATCTTCATCTCCAGCAAACAAAACTATAACAATTAAACCATTATTGAGTCTTAAAAATAGATTTAAGAATCTACCAACAACAACAACAATATTCATCAACGAACAACAACAACAACAACAACAACAACAACAACAACAACAACAACAACAGATATTTGAAAAACTACTAATAATGAATGAACAATTCATAGTTAAAGGTAGACATTCAATATGGTTACAATCATTCAAATATTACCAAATGTCTAAATTACAATTAGAGAAAGACAACAACAACAACAACAACGACAACTCTAAATATTATAAATACTTCTCATTAGTTTTGCTACTTCCACAACTTGAACATTCTCTTCGTTGTCTGTTTGTAGAGTGTAACAAGCTGTCAGAACGATTCCTGAATGCCGACTATCTTAGTTACTACACTACACTTGACATCTTCTTATCTGACAAACTTACTCTAAACGAATCGTCGCAGTCTCAACAACTTCAAATTTCACAATCTTCTTCTGCATCGTCTTCTTTGGAAGGTAATACCACCAAACCATACTATAAATATCAAGATCCAAAATATAGTAAATTATCACAACAACAACAACAACAACAACAACAAGAAGAAGGAAAAGAAGGAAAAGTAGTAACGGAGGAACAGACAAATGAATGTAAATTAATTGAATTTGAAAATCAAATGTATCGAATTCTTGGAAAAGACATTGTTTTGGCACTGTTGGATCTTCTGATGTACCAAGAAGGACCGAGAATCAGAGATAGAATATCACATGGTGAAATCAATTATTTCGAAATACCAGATTACTTTATCGATCTTTTATTTCAACTGTCACTATCCATCATATTGAAAACAACAAAACAACAAGATAATAATAATAATGATCATCATATTAACAATACTATACAACCAACAATACCAACAACACCATCATTTCATCCACAACAACTAACTACCAATACGATACAAAAAACAATAGAATCAAACAGCAAGCTATCAAGGTATTTAGAAAAGTTGGTACTGCAAAAAGATAAAGCGCTATTATCTGACTATTTAAATCAACCTTTGATTTCATTGAACGAAAAAGAAGATGAAGAAGAAGAAGAAGATAACAATCAAACATTAAATTGTAATATCGATATATTGATACCTTCGAATCAAGATATAAGTTATTTCAATAGTATAAAGAGATTGGTTGGGAGTATCGATCGATTGATCAATGGGTTCCTTGACTCTGGTAAATCGTTGAAACAACAGGTCATCAAAGAACAATGTACTTCGAAACGACTGCAGAATTCCTTTTACAAATGGTGTGGATTGTCAAGAAGATTCTCAGACTATACCATACATAATCAATCATTAATAATTAAACAATTCAATCAATATTTACAATCAAATAATAATAATAATAATACTTTTGTAAAATTACTAAAATCAAATGATAAACTAAATCAATATTTTGAAAAGATTTTGGTAAAGATGAAAAACAATGAATGGGAAATAATTAATAATTTAATAATAACGAAATAAACTATAAATATAGTTATCTCTATCCTTTTTATATTAATAAACAATTAATTGTTGAACATGATGAACTTCACTCCCATATATAAAAATATCGCGCCTTTTTTCATTTTTAAAAAAATTTTGTTTTCAAAATTAAATCATTTTCTTTTTTTTTTTTGTTTGTTTTTGTGATTGTTTTTCTCAAATTTATAGATAGATTTAATTTAAATATATATAATAAGATGTCGGAAGAAGTTGAAGAGAAGATCATCAATGAAGAATATAAGATATGGAAGAAAAATACACCATATCTTTACGATATGATTATTACACATGCTTTGGAATGGCCTTCTTTAACTGTTAATTGGATGCCACAAAAGACAACGTATGTGTTCATTGGAATTTCACAAATAAAAGTTAAACAACAATACCCACTTACTTGCTCATTACCTCACTATACCTACACTGTTTGACCATAATGCAAAAAATACAAAATGCGTTGTTATTAAAATTACATTGTTTTTATATATTATGTTATAGTCCACCAAATAAACAATATTCAGTAGAGAAATTAGTTCTAGGTACACATACATCGGATGCAGAACAAAACTATTTGATGGTTGCCAAGGTACATCTACCGATCGATGGTGCTTCGATTGACTCGATCAAGTACGACGACCAGAAAGGAGAGGTCGGTGGCATCGGCAGCATCAGCGAGAAGATCGAAATCATTCAAAAGATTAACCACGAAGGTGAGGTGAATCGTGCACGTGTCATGCCACAGAATCATACTATTATAGCAACAAAGACAGTGTCTTCGGAGGTCTATGTTTTCGACACAAGCAAGCACCCATTGGAGCCATCGCCCGATGGAAAGTGCACACCCAATCTCAAACTCACAGGACACAAGAAAGAAGGTTACGGAATCTCGTGGTGTCCAATCCAGGAGGGTTACCTTCTGAGTTGTTCCGACGACCACACCATTTGCATGTGGAACATCAACGCCGCCACAAAATCAACAAACACTCTTGAGGCTGACAGCATCTACCAAGGACACGAATCGATCGTTGAGGACGTCGGATGGCACTACCACCACGAAAACTATTTTGGTTCGGTCGGTGATGATAAGAAATTAATTTTGTAAGTCAAATCGAAAGAATATTAGTTTAAAAGAAAAGAAAAACCGAACTAATCAATATTGTTATTGTTGTTGTTGTTGTTGTTTTTTTAGATGGGATACAAGAACAGGAACGAAACCACTTCATATTGTTGAAGCACACTCCAGTGAGGTCAATTGTTTGTCGTTCAATCCATTCAGTGAGTTTTTAATTGCAACGGGATCGACCGATAAAACTGTAGCGCTTTGGGATATGAGAAATCTGAGTAGTCGTCTTCATACACTGATGTCACACACCGACGAAGTCTTCCAAGTACAGTGGTCGCCACACAACGAAACCGTGTTGGCATCGTGTGGATCGGATCGTCGTGTCAATGTTTGGGATCTCTCGAGAATCGGAGAGGAGCAAAACAGTGAAGATGCATCGGACGGACCACCCGAACTTCTCTTTATCCACGGTGGACACACCTCAAAGATCTCTGACTTTAGCTGGAATCCACACGATCCATGGGCAATCGCATCGGTTGCCGAAGACAACATTCTTCAGATCTGGCAGATGGCCGAGAATATTTACAATGACAAAGAGGAAGATGATAAAGTATCTCCATCTCAACTCGGTGAATAATAATAATAATGATAATGCTAAATAAAATAAGATTGAAAAAAGAAAAAAAAAAGGTGATATGTTTAATTTAAAAAAAAACTATTGAAAGATAGATTGTTGTTTTGCTTTGTTGTTTTAATTTTAGTTGCTATTTTATTGAATCTTCTTGGCGGATCTCTTTTGTTCTTGACCTCCAGTGGAAGTACGCTTCGAGTAGATGTGAGCGGTGAATGGTTCTTCGAAAGTGAGGGCAATACGATATGTGATAAAGACGATCAACGAGAGGAAGATACCGGCAACACTCTTTCCGTGAAGAGCGTGTGCCAAAAACAAAATGGTCGATCCGTTGTACATTGGATTTGACATTACGTTGAATGGGAATCCATAGACTCTTTCCTTCATTAAAATACCAAAGTAATCTCCAAGATAGGTACCTGTGATACCCAAACGGTAGTAGGTGGCACCTACCAAAATACCACCGATCGCATACAATGCATAGGATACAGTTTGTAACTCTTGTGAAAATTGTTCAAGTAATGGATGAATTGGTTGACGTTTCATTGATTCTGCAAATCTATATATAGATTTAATCGAATAGCAGCAATCAAGTTGATAATGAAAGTTCTATTAGTTTAGTTTTCTAAAGTGTTGTTTGTTGTGTTTTTTGTTTGTTACATACAAATAGTCTCTCAATGCTCCACATGTGAAAATAAGGAATGCAAGGAAATAACATCCTTTGTAGGCACCTCCACACAACTTGGTTAAAAAGTGAGTTTTGTATTCACGTCTGGCAACGATGTTCCACCATGTTGGAGTGCTTGTAATAACTAAAATAGTATACCACAAGTATTTCTCTTGGAAATCTATATAGTGTGGTAGTTCCAACAATGTTTGCATTGACAACTGATCCATCCTCTTTTGAACTAATCTGAATAAATTAATTATATATCTAAAAAAAGTATATTGTTATTGACAACACAAAAAAAAAAAAATTGATCATTCATTTTTGGTCCCACCAAAAAAACCAAAAACCAAAAGAATCTGAAAAAAAAAAAAAAAATTATTTAAAAAAATCTTTAGGTCTAGACAAATTAATTTAAATCTATCATAGTTATAATATATTTTTTTGTTTTTTCATTATGTTTGATTTGTTTTTAATTATCAATAAAAAACGTCACAGAGTTGTTTTTAAAAGTGATTTAAATTTGTATATAACATTTGAAAATTTCAAATCAAAAAAAAATTAGAAAAGGCGCCTTTTTCGTAGAAATTTAAAATTGACAGTTCTCAAAAATTTAAAAAATATTATACTATGTTTGTTTATATTTGTTAAATAGTTAAATTATTTGTTTTGATTTATTTGTTGTTTTAATAGTAGTATAGATATGGGAATTAAAAACCTAACATCATTAATTGAGGAGAATGCACCCTCTGCAATTAAATCTAATGATCTAAAGAGTTACTCTGGTAGAATCGTAGCAATCGATGCTTCCACCAGTATGTATCAATTCCTTATTGCAATTAATACAGAAATGGGTGCTGCTCTTATGAATGCAAATGGTGAAACTACAAGGTAAGTTATTCCATCAATGACTATCTTTATTAACTTTCAACTAACTTAACATATGTATCTTTAAACAGTCATCTTCAAGGTATGTTTTATAGAACAATCAAATTGATGACACGTGGAATCAAACCAATCTATGTATTCGATGGTAAAGCACCGGTTTTAAAGAGTGGTGAGGTAGGTTATTATATACTGTGTAGTCTATATTTGTAACTAATAAACATTTATTAATCCTTTAAAATATTATTAATAATTAAAGTTGGCTAAAAGATATGCAAGAAGAAAGGAAGCAGAACAACAGTTGGAAGAGGCAAACGAAGTTGGTAATTCAGAGGACGTTCAAAAGTTTCAAAAGAGAACTATCTCTGCTTCGAGAAAACAAAATGAAGAGTGTAAGAAGTTGTTAGAGTTGATGGGTGTCCCCATTGTACAGGCACCATGCGAGGCGGAAGCACAGTGTGCCGAGCTATGTAAGGGAGGCAAAGCATGGGCAACCGGCTCTGAGGATATGGATTCTCTCACACTCGGAACAACAATACTGTTGCGTCGTCTTACGTTCTCCGAAGCCAGAAAACTGCCAATCATGGAGATCGAACTGGAGAAGGTGCTCGATGGTTTGGATTTGACACACGATCAATTCGTTGATCTCTGTATATTGTTGGGTTGCGACTATTGCGATACCATCAAAGGAATCGGTCCCAAGAAGAGTTTCGACATGATAACCAAACACAAGAACATTCAAACCGTCATCCAAAATATAGATCGCACAAAAAACCCAATTCCAGAATCTTTTCCATACGAAGAGGTTCGTGAACTTTTCAAGAATCCAGATGTAATTAAATGTCAAGATTTACCAGAGGTATGTTATTATATTATCAGATTCAACATAATCAATTAACTAAAACTAAATTGATCGATCTATCATCAAGATCGTTTGGAAAGAACCAGATGTTGATGGTTTAATTAAATATTTGGTTGGAGAGATGGGTTTCAATGAAACAAGAGTTCAACAGGGAATTGAGAAATTAAAGAAATATAAAGATACAGGTGTACAAACAAGAATCGATACATTTTTTCCGATGATAAAGAGACCAAGGGATGAAGATGCTGGTTCTGCCAAGAAGAAGCAAAAAACAGTTGCAAAACCTGGAGCCGCTGGTTCCAAAAAGAAACCTGCTGCCAAGAAAGCTGCTGGTAAAAAATAAATACTTAATTACTACTTTTTTTACAAATTTTATATATAATTATATTTTAATTAATTAACTGATATTAATCTAATAAAGATTGGTTGGATGGTGATGACGATGATTTCGTTGGTGTTAAAGGTGGTGGTGGTTGTTGACTTTCGACTTTCTCCATGATCTGTGTGAGTGTCGATGTGAATGCTTGGGGTGGTGCATTTGAGAAAGAGAGAGACGGTGAAGAAGATGTCCAAGATGGCATTCTGCTCAATGCTGGTGATGAGGAAAGTGATGATGCTTCCGAGTTGAATCCTGACATCTTTGATCGTAGTATATTGTTTTCCATTGCCAATCTCTTGTAGTCATCTAAAAGTTTTTGTAATTGTCCAATCTTTAAATCATCCACATTATAATTAATAAACTCGTATTTCTAGAAATTGATAGGTCAATGTAAATAAGCAAGTTCTTCAATTGCAATCAAATCATTTAAATTTAACCTACTCTCTCATCGAAAGAATGATGATCATCACTGATATCGAAATCTTCGTCGAAAAATGTACTGTTTGGGGTGCTGCTGATAGAGAGGTGTCTGGTGTGTCGGTGTGGTGTGCGTGTCGGTTGTACAATAGAGGTTGGTGGTGTTGGTGTTAGTGTTGTTGGTGTCATTGTTGGCTTTGGTGTTGTTGCTATATATTGATTGGAGAGCGGTGCTTGATTCATGCTGTTTTGTTGGAGTGTCTTCAATAGGTTCATTCGTTTCAGAACGTCTGGATGCAGCTTAGTAGGTAACTCTGCCTCACAACGCTCTCTAAGTCTGTAAAACTCTGATTCCTCGATGGTCAGATCGGATGGCTGTATATTCTCGATGAATGTGAGTGCCGACACCAAATGTGTGAAATAACAACCTGTCTCTGTTGACATTCTACTTGGATTTCTAAATGTTGATATATACTGTATGTTTGAATGTAACATTGGTGGATTTGCTTTTAAAACTACAAAAATTAGAATAGGCAGGAAATCGTCTGCTCCCGAGGGCGTATTATTCATTGATGATAATAACTATAAATTATAAATATTCATCATTATGAATGTTAGTAGTCATAGAATTGGAATGTTATTGTTTTAAACAACAACAATAATAATAATAATAACAATGATGATACATTACTCTAAAGATAACTTTACAACTATTATAAATACAAATCATTTTATCACGCGGTGTCTTGTAGGTATTCATCTTTCTGAGTTCAATCATTGACTTTTCGATGAGTGCGCCATTCGATTGAACAAACTTTTGGATATCCAAGTGCAGTGGTGTAATGAATGACAGTGTAAGAATCAGCTTGTATATCTTTAAATCTTCTTCCGTTGCTATCAAACCTTGTTCCGGTACAATATTTCCATCACTTGCTTCCAATCCTCCTAATCTAGCTGGCATAAATGTACTTTACAATGATCAAGTTAATAACTTTAACTTTAACCTATAAAAAACTATATATATTATATAGAACAGAACATACCAATGAAATACTTTAGTCATTATGAACTTTTCAATTCCATCTCTGATACCTTCGATCTCAGCATCGTTTGCATTCTCCCACAATTGATTGGAAAGTATCCAATTCTCCAACTCTCTCGAATATGTAACAACAGTATGACCTTGTTCCTCAAGTTTACCTGGTCCATTCGATGCAAATTGATGTGTAAAACTAAATAATAATAATAATATGATATCGATCAATCAATCAATAAGTATAATGATATCATATGATGTTATTCAGTTGTGCCAAACATACTTATTTAGACTCTTTTTAATCTCCAATGCTTTAGGATTCTTTAGTTTTGTAAAGAAACTTGCTTTTTCACGAGCACTCTCCTCTACAGTGACGATACCATTACCACCTCCGATTCTTACATTCTCCATTCCACTGCTTGTATTCAACGGTGTAGATGTTGATGTTGTTTGTTTACCATTGCCATTCTTTTGTTGTTGTTGTTGTTGTTGTTGTTGATTATCAATAGCAACTAAAGAGTCATATGATTCGGAATTAACAAGTGATGTAGAACTACTTGATTTTGGTATACCACTATTATTATTATTCTTTGATGTTTGTTGTTGCTGCTGTTGCTGTTGCTGTTGTTGTACAGTAGGAGTTTGTGAATGTAAAGAAGGGAACCACATTGAATATATATTTTTTTTATAGTTATATAGCTATAGAATAATAATGGTATACGGAATAAAAAATAAAAGAGCAGTTGTTTGATGAAATTTGATTGCGAATGCAAATGATGTGTGCGAATTTAATTAATTGGTATTGGTTTTTTTTTTTTTTTTTTTTTTTTTTTTGAAAACAATTTAGTATATTTTTTTAATAATGATATATAAGTTTAGATGTATTTATTTAAATTACTCTTGTATATTTTAAGATAGATATAAAATATCTAAAAATAAAAAAAAATAAAAAAAATAAAAATAAAAAAGTCGAATATTCAAGAACTGATTTGGATGGAATTCGGGATCATTGATCAAGATCCCTCATTTTCAATGCTGATCTTTGTCAATAAAATGGTCATCATTTTTTATTATATTCTTTCAAAAAAAAAACAACAAATTTTAATTAAATCATTTGAATTAAATTTTTTAATTTTTTTTTTTTTTTTTTGATATCATAGATATAAATAAAGGTTGTGTTCTAACCGGAATTTATAATTTGAAAACAAACTTGTTTTATAACATTAATAACCGGTTCGATCAAGATTATTTAAAATAATGTTTATAAAAAAAAAAAAAAAAAAAAAAAAACGTTGTTGACAACATGCTCACACTCCTTATCTATGACCCATTTCAAAAGACTAATTAGTTTTTTTTTGTTTTTTTTTGATGATTTTTTTTTCCACAAATTAGGTGATTTTTCAGATCATCTTTAAAGTTTGTGCCACTTTGGTCCATTATCATAAAAAAATTCAATAAATTATAAAAATTATAAAAATTTTTTTTTTGCAATTTTTTTATCATATCGCACTGTGCCGGTCACATTTTAGATATTATATTATTAATTATAGAGTAGTTATTGCTATTATTATTATTGTTTATATATACAGTGAAATCAAACTTAACTTTGCGATCCATTTAGTTAGTAATAATTTTATTTATTTATTTTTAAAATACCCAAATCATTTTTCAAAGCCTATTAATTATTGATATTAGTAGTCGTAGTAATAATCGTTATTTAACAAAAACCAATAAAAACAATAAAAACAATAAATCAACAACCAAAAACAAACAATAACATAATAACAAAGATCAATTCACTAGTAACAACAATTGTAAAATTAAATAATAAAACAAATCAACAAGTAGGTTTATTATTATTATTTTTATATTCTTACATGTTTCTTTAGTTTAAAAAAAAATAAAAACAAAAAAAAACAAAAAAAAAGACAAAAGATTAGATAATATTATATTGTACATTTGTTTTTTTAATAATCTTTTTTTAAGTTTAATACTATAATAAAATAATAGTAAATAATAATATTGGTGTAGTATAATAATAATGGTTTTGATATCAACTTGAAATCGACTTTTAAAATAATCATTAGATTTACTAAAAAGACAACACACAACACATTATCAACAAACAACAACACTTTTACCTTTGCTTGTTTTTGCAAATCAAGTTCACTCATTCATTAATTACAAGCAATAAAATAATGCGAGCACTATCAATTTTTGTTACCACATACAAACACAACACAACACAGCACACACTACATTGACCAACCAATAAGCCATCCCACTGTCTATCACCAACAAACAAATACCACTATCTTCTTCTCTCTCTCTCCATCTCTCTTTTTCGAAAATATTTAGTTTTTTATTTTTATTTGATTCTTTGTCAAATAAAATAATTAATCAAAACAACAAAAAAACAACCAAACAAAGAACTTATTGCTTAGCTTCATTCATACTTTACTTAAGTTTGAATTTGAACATTTGTTGTTGCTGCTGCTGTTTGGTTTGTCTTTTTTTTATTTTTATTTTTGTATTTTTTTTTAATGTGTTTGCTGTTCATTGATAATGTAAAGTTCTTTCCAGCCAAATTGTCAGAGTTACTAACTTTTTTATAAATTTAAAGCAAACAAACAAAATATAGCTTTATATAGATCAGATAGATAGACAAAACAAATTATAATAAGATGGCCCCAGAACAGTAAATATTAAACATTCACACATCATCTCATCATCGTCATCACAATTAACTAATCATTTCATATCATATCATAAACAGTGATTTCTTTTTTAAGATCCTTTTAATTGGTGACAGTGGTGTAGGAAAATCTTGTCTTTTACTTAGATTTGCTGTAAGTTTATTTATTTCCTACAGGCTAAACAAAATATATTATATAGTTTACTTACCAGTGAAATAACAATCAATCTACTCATATAATAGGACGATTCATGGACTGACACTCATATCAGTACCATTGGTGTAGACTTTAAAATTAAAACCTTAAACTTAGATGGAAAGACTATTAAATTACAAATCGTAGGTTTTTTTTATTCTTTTTTTCTTCTCTGGATAGACGTGAAGATGAGAAGGGTCTTGCGAATCATAAAGAAGAGTAGAATAACTAATATTTATGATTTATTCTCTATTCAATAATTATTATAGTGGGATACTGCTGGACAAGAAAGATTCAGAACTATCACATCCAGTTACTATCGTGGTGCACAAGGTATTATTTTGGTCTATGATTGTACCGATCAAGACTCATTCAACAACGTTAAACAATGGATGGGTGAAATCGATAGATATGCATGTGAAAACGTCAACAAACTCTTGGTAGGAAATAAAACCGATCTCGTCAACGAAAAGGTTGTCGATACCAATCAGGCTAAAAGTTTTGCAGAGAGCATGGGTATTCCATTTATTGAAACAAGTGCAAAGAATGCCACCAACGTAGAGGAATGTTTTTGTTCAATGGCCAGAGATATTAAGAACAGGTAAATATTTATTGAATCATAGCAGCACTTCTCTTTTCTTTATTCTAATGTAATCCTTACTAACTGGTTGGTAACCATAAATCTATAGACTTGCTGATATTCAAGAGGCACCAAAGGGTGACGGTGTAACCATCTCAACACCAAGTAAAACTGGAACCAAAAAGAAGAAACTTTGTCTTATTTAAAATAATTTCAAAAAATATAAAATAAAAATCTTAAAAAAAACTAGATATATGTTATAATTAAATAATAGATCTCACATCATCAATCATCATTGCAATCAGTACGATTATATTAACATGTATATATAAATAATATTTCAAAAATTTTATTAGAAATTGATTAAAGTTGGTTGATTTTTTTTTTTGTTAAAAATTTAGTTTAGATTTAGATTTTCTTTAAATTATTCGTATACTTCTTTCTGTAATTGCCTACACCCACATAGTCACAGAGTGCAGCTGTATCACCGAGTCCATTGGATTTTCCAAATAGTGAGTTTTTATTCATTTCCAGTAGGTAAACACCAAGACCTCCTGCAAAGGTACCGTTATCTTTGTCCCACCATTTGAATGCACCTTGACCAACCCTATCGATGTCCAGTGAGGTACCAAACAAGTAACGATAGCCCGGAATGAAGAAAGAAGAGGTTGCTGCCAAATTGTCATGACCGGTGTTATCGGGTGGATAGAAGAAGTTGTCATCGAAAAACTCGCCACCACCAATACCATCTGGCATACCAAGGTATCCGCTCGGACGTGGGTGTGCACCGACTTTGCCTCCACAGGAACCTAAGTATTCCCATTCATACTTTCCGGTATTTGGATTCTTGCATGCCTTCACCATATCGTAGATACCGACATCCAAATTCATATCACCACCTCTGTCTCTGATAGACATGATCAAGCTGGAATCATCAGGTTCAAAGGTGATATCCGAGATAATTGGTTGTGGATCATAGTAGACTGGTGACCATCTTACCCATCGACCAGGTGTACACAAACCGTTTCCAAACATCTTGCAACCCATTGGATAGTCGAGTTGTAATGAGATGACAGTTTCATTGCCCTTGAGAATATATGCTACTGGTGGTGTTTCCAAGTCACTAGATTCCATTGAGCATACACCACCGATGTGAAGTTCACCTAGACTATTGATACCAATGGCAAATGGTCTCCAATCTGATTGGTTCTCGCATGGGTTAAAGGTTTGAGTTAAATTGTATTTGTTTGGATCGGAGATGCTCACAGTAAGAAGTTCTTTCGTTTGCAATGCGATAGTGTAGAATTGGTAATCATCAATATCCAAATCACCAAAAGATGCCTTTCCAACTTGGTCGATGGTTTCATCATAGTTTGTAATGTTGGCAGGATGTAAATCTTCACCAGCATAGTTTTCTCCAGCCTTTTTGTTGAGGTCAAAGAAAGTGGTGATAAAGGGAGTATCTACCACTTCACTCTTCATAATAATACGGTAGATGGCACCAGTACCACTAGGTCCATATGAAGTAAAGTATTTGGTGAAAGCAGAGACGAAAAGACTTTGTGATTTTCTGTGGAATCCAAGACCATAGACAGCACCGATTTGTCCATGAGTTGCCCAATGGATAACTTTGTTGCTGGTGTCATTGTACAAATTAGGTTTGGAATGGAGAGGGAACGATATGACAACTGAGTCGTTAGCATTTGGACCGTTATAACTTCCTTTGGTGAAGCAGGTAAGTGCGATTGGTGGATTATCTTGACAAGAACCTGCATAGTTTACGATACCAACATTAACATTTCCACTTGGATAGATAGAGGTGTAGTAGGAAACTGATACTTTATTGGCTGGTGGAGCGGGAGGTGGCTTAGTCTTTACCCAATCTAGAGTCAAATTGACATCGACCGTGTATTTAGAAGAGTAAGAAAGATTGGTAAATGAGAAGTATCCATTTTCATCTGTAAACCGGGAGGAGACAAGTGTGGTATTATCAGATGACAATAAGAGCAAAACTTGAATGTTGGGTTTAGGTATATCTATTGCCTGTAGACCAGGAGTGGTATCCATTATACCATTGGCGTTGTAGTCGATGAAAACAGTACCACTAATCATACCGTCAGTTTCAAAAATGAAACCAGCATTGATATCTCTTAGAATTCCAGATTTTCCTTTTGTAATGTAGGTCTTTTCCAATTCGTCAAGTTGTAAATTTCCCAAAGCTGCAGTTGTTACTCTAAGTGGAATGGTAATACCTTGTTGATTGACTTTATTCGTAAGTGGTTGTGATTGATTTGTTGATTGGATTGTTGAGAAACTAACAAAATCTGGATTGGAGTATTCAAATTTAACTGTATAGATATTTCTATAAATATTTTGAAAGAAATAGTATCCTTTTTTGTTGGTATATACAGGCTGCATCAAGTAACCATCCTTGTCATAGGTTTGCACTCCATTTGATAACAAAGTAACTTTTACTCCTTCAAGTGGAATGTTTTCAGCAGAGAACTGACTGTTGTGCATTCTGTCCACAAATGCAAAACCACTGAGTGCAAATTCTTCACCATATGGGGATTGTGTTCCTTTGTTTTCAGCACATTGAATGAAAGAATAATAAACATATTGAGATCTAACATCATAAGATTTATAGCATAGTTTCATCTGGTCAAAAGGATTATCTGGTTGGAACAATTCGTAATTAATGTTTTCCATGGGCTCCTCAAAGCATCCAAGTTGAATCTGATTCTTATCGTGTCTAATTTCCGGGGTTACAGCAGGAGGAAGTCTATTGGAGATAGAACCATTCAAAATAATAGTCCAATTGCTCATCACATTTGCTTCACCAAGGTTTGAAGTGGAAATTGATACTCTATCGTAACCATCTACCGATGCAACCATCAAACAAAGATCTTTGACTGATTTTGTGAAATTGAATTTAATACAACTTTCCTTTTCACATGGACAATTAAAATGGGCTAACATCTTGATATATTGGGAGTTTTGGTAGAGGTTTTGAAAAAGTGGATTATCAGTACCTGACTGGGGAAGTAAGGTACCAAGAAGAATAGGTGGATTATTCTTCATATCATCTCCATAGAGGGTAAACATTACATCTGTAAAATTATCAAATAAAGAGGTGGTGATAGGCGAGAGAGGTGGCTGGAAGATATTGAATGTTTTCGATCTAAAATATTCAATTGACATTCCTGAGGAGACATAAAAAACAGAGAATAATAACAAGATAAAAAAAATCTTGTTTTCCATTTTCTTGATTTTTAATGTATTTAAAAAAAAAGATAAAATAAAACTGAATACCTTTTAATTATTGCTTTGATTTTTTTCTATTTAATTATTATTAAAATATTATTATATTTAGTTTTATTTTATCTGGAATAAATTAATTATTACTAGTTATAATTTTTTTTAGAGGGAGGAATATTTTGATTATTTATAAATATATACTAATTAAAACCATTAGATATATTACTGTAACATTTATATTAACATTTTTTTTTCTTTTTGCAATGAGTGATCAAATTCGTTATGTGGTAAATCATTATTTGGGTTTGTGTATTAAAATCAAATATGAAAAATCATATTGAGAATGAAGCGCCTGCTGATTGGTGGTGTGAACATTTGCGTGATAACAATTTTAATGAAGAAAAGTGTATGTTTTTTTTTGTGAATAAAATACAATTAGCTTGCGTGATTTAAGTGTGTAAAAGTGTTAACTTTTGATTATCTTTACTTTTTCATCTACCAATATCAACTATGTTGTGTGATAACTGACCATCCGATTATTTATTAGTTTAAAGATAGTCACTTCACTGTAGAGATGTTAGTTGAATAATATTTCTATTAAAGAATGATCAGATGATGATGATAATGGAAAGTTGCATATACAGATGGATGAAAAAAAATATTTGTGTGATTATTGTTTATTTGTTTATTTGTTATGCCATGTTGGGGTTCTCTTTTCGACAAAAGCGCTCATACCTTCTTTTTGATCGTGCTGTGTTGTATTGGTAGTAATAGATGGATAAAATAAAATTAATATATATAATCTATTTTTTATAAAATGGACAGGACTTTTTAATTATATCCTGCTAATTATTGTTTTTAAATACTTACAGTTCCGAATGTAGCATGGAAAATTCTACGTTCAAAATGAATACCTTCCTTTAATGTTAATTCATATGATGAGTTAACAGCTTCCTTTGCCATAGATACTATAGTATTAAAAAAAATAATAATAGAATAGAAGAGAGTTGTGTGTTAATTATTTTCTGTTTGTTTTTCGATCGATTCTAAATTGGTGGTGAGTTGTGTGGATTTTCTTTTCATACCAGTGAGTTGTGAGTATGAGGCAATCTTTTCAGCTGTTTTCATTGCTTCAGCCAAAAGTTCTTCAGCTGGAACGACTCTGCTTACGAGACCAGCCTTTTCAGCTTCGACAGCGTTCATGTTGTTTCCAGTGAGAACCAATTCCATAGCTTTAGATTTACCGATTGCACGAATCAAACGTTGAGTTCCACCACAACCTGGGATGGTTCCCAATTTAATCTCTGGTTGACCAAAGACAGCTTTATCACCGGCGATGATGATATCACACATCATGGCCAACTCGCAACCACCACCCAGAGCGTAACCGTTGACAGCAGCAATGATTGGCTTACGGATGTAGGTGAGATCGTGCCATTGAGCCAACATATCGGTGTTGTAGGCTTCAGCGAGTGTCTTCTTTTCCATCTCTTTGATGTCGGCACCGGCAGCGAATGCCTTCTCACTACCGGTAATAATGATTGAACCTACTTCTTTGTCCTCTTGGAATTGCTTGACGGCAGAGTTGATCTCATTGATCAAACCGTCTGACAATGCATTCAAAGCCTTTGGACGGTTGAGTGTGACAACACCAACCTTTCCTTTCTTTTCAACCAAAATATTTTGGAATCCAGTTGCTTAATTAATTATAATTTGATATTAAAAAAAAACATAATCAATAAATCAGGTTCCACTACTAAGATTGACTGTCAATCAGATGACAACTTACTGCTGGTAGTACAAAATGAATTCTTGAATATATTGGTTCTAACTAAAGAGTTGATTGATGAGCTTTGTCTGAACAATGATTTATACATATTTTGAGATTTTCGCTTTCTAAATAAATAAATAGTGTAAATAAAAACAGTAATTTGATCAAAAGGCAATGAAGTAACAACAAACTATTATGTTTTTTAAAGAAAATCAAAATTGAAAAAAAAAAAAATTGAAAAAAATAAATTATAAAATTTCAACCCTTTGGGTGTGTTAATGAAAAGTATGGTGATTTGATTGTTCCCGAGAGATGAACGTGATATGATGAGCAATCAACCAATCAATCATTTAAAATAATAAATTAATTTTAAAGAAAATCAAATAAATTTGAGACGCTTTTGTTTTTTTTTTTTAGATGTTTTTGCTTTTTTTTTTTTTATGGTTGGTAAATTTTTATTGGACCTCTGTTGGTGTAGTTGTTGTAAGAAGAATATACATTGGAGTTTTGAAGATCTTTGGCTGGTGAAGTTGGTGGCGAAACAGTTGGTGATTGTGAAAGGTGGGGATGATATACAGATGGAGAGGAGGGTGAAAAGACGGGTGCAAGGGAGGATAATGATGGAGAGGAGATTCTAGTTACATTCTGGCGTGGAGGTGTCTGATTGACGACTTGGTTCAAGATGGAATTATTGATGCCATTGGAACCGAAATATATGTTACTATTACTACTATTTATATTGTTACTGGTGTAGGAGCTGCTGTTGTTGCTGCCGTTGCTGTATTGCATTGAGGAGCTGCTGATGTTGCTGCTGCTACTGCTACTGTTACTGTTGAATGGGTATAATGTCTTTTCATAATGTTTGCCATGTCTATATGTTACATTGCCAGGATCGATCCACATTGTTGTATTTTGTTTAAAGAAAGATCTAAATTCACCGTGAATATCGGAGCGCTTGGCGGCATCAATTAAGAGGCGGTCAGTGGTCTCCTCGCATACGACGGCACGGTATCCTTGGCCACGTTCTGGATTGTCCGGATACCAATGTCCTTTGGTGCGATCGCGGAGACCTATGATCAGCTCTTTGCGGAAGCGTCTGATGTTGTCTTTCGGTATATGATTGTTGAGCTTTGCGAGCGAGTCTGCCCACCAACAGGCGGCTACAACCAGCTCTGGCAGATCCGAGCTGTAGGCACTGAGATACTGCTCGATGTCGGAGAGGGGTGGCGAAGTCGATGGGTTGGGTGTTCCTGTCGATGAGTTTAAGCTGGTTGCTGCACTGCCACCGCCTGATGGCGATGGAATTGAGAGTGGCTTACTGATGGGTGTCGATGACGATGAAGACGAACCAGTGGTAGCTTGATTCGACGAGCCGATGTCAAGAGTGCTGCCATTGCCCGCCACCATGCCACCGCCGTCAGCGTTACCATCTACTACCGTACTTTCACCGCCAACACCACCACTTTCATTACTCTCTGAAAAAGGTGTCATTCAAAAATACTAAATAAAAACAAATTATCTCTTTTTTTTTCTTTTTTTTTTATTTATTTATCAATAAGATATTTTTACTATTTGATGATTTTATATTATATTATTTGATATATATTCAATTACTAGTAATTATTAATATTCAATTTAATATACAAAAAAAATGATTATTATTATTATTAATGATAAATAAATAAATAAATAAATAAACTAATTATTTATAAATAAATGAATGAAAAAATAAACAATATATATATATATAAAAATAAATATGAAAGTGATTATTATTTATTTCTTTGTTAATAGAAAATAAAAAAAAAAAGAACAAAATTTGAAAGATTAGAGTGAGTGTATACAAACTCAAAAAAACCAAAACAATTAATTTTTTTTTTTTTTAATTTAAATTAGTGAGATCGTTGAAAAAAAATTTTTTTTTTTTTATTTTAAATGTGGTTGAGAAGTTATAACAGTGATTTTATTGTGTTGTAATTCCAGGAGCTGAAAAAAAAAATAAAATAAAAATATTTATTACAATTAATTTTTTCAATTTTTTTTTTAAAATTTTCATATTTTTTTTTTTTTTTTTTTTGGGTTGTTTGTGTTATTGAATGAATAAGTGTGAATGAGTGTAATGATGTGTGAAAAAATAGTAAAAGTAGATTAGTAAGATAAATGAAGTGAGTTAGTTTGTTAAAGTAAAATTAAACAATATCTATATCATATTGACCATGGTATATGCTTAACACACAACCTACCACATTTTATTAATTGTATGTGTGTGATATTTGTTTGTGTGTGTGTGTCTATTTGTGTTGTTTGATTTTGGCTGTTATTTAGTTTAGGTTAGAAAAAAAAAATACAATGCGTTAATTATCTATTCAATTCTCACACCCAAATTCCAAATGTAATTACAAAACAAATCAATCCAATTAGTCAAGTTATAAACATAAAATAATCAATGTGCTGTATGTTATTGAATGTTTGATTTGGTGCTGTCGATCAGAAATTCAGTACAAATAATAGTTGGTGTGTTGGCTGCAGTGCAATTGCATAATTATTATCCGGATGATTAGTGTGGGTAGATACATTACTTTTGTTTGATAGGATTGTTGAACGCTAGCTACGGCATCGACTAAAAATCCACAAACTGTGAGAGTAATATTATTAATAATAATAATAACAAAAACAATTGTTTGTTTTTATTATTATTTTAATGTGTTATTTTTTATAAAATAATAAATAACTGACTGAGTGTTTTATCTGATTGATTGACATTATAAATAACATTGGATCAAGATTATTATTGTATCAGTATTTGTATACATTACACTTGCTTTGTTAAATGTCCATACTACGAGAATATATATTACTTTACGAAAGTAGTAATAATCACTGATTTTACATATACTATACTATAATAAAAGTTATTTATACACCATTGTTTTGTAGTTTGTATTGATTTATTTTATTTTAATTTACTTTTTTTTGCTACTATTACTACTGCTACTACTTCTTTTGTTTTATTTTTACCAATTTGGTTTATGTTTGTTAATGGTATCTCTAAATAGTTGCATTGTGTCTTTGGGGTTTTGACCGGGTTTGAATAGAGATGAACCGGCAACGATGATGTTTGCACCGGCTTTGGCAGCGGCGTCGATTGTGTTTGGGTCGAGTCCACCGTCGACTTGGATCGGTAGATGTGGGTACTTCTTTCTGAGAGTCTCTACTTTGGGCATCATGTGGGTCATGAACGACTGACCACCGAAACCAGGCTCGACTGTCATGATCAACACGAAATCGATCGACTCTACAAAGTCAAAGATCGATTCGATCGGAGTGTTTGGCTTCACACTGATACCGCACATCATTCCACTCGACTTGATCTTGTGAATCACTTCCTTGGTGATCGAACGGCCGTCTCCACGCTCGGTTGCCTCAATGTGGAAAGTGATACCGTCGGCACCGGCATTCTTAAAGTCATCGATCATCGACTCTGGATTGGTGACCATCAAGTGGCAATCCAAATGTCCTTTAGTATGCTTTCTCAAGCTCTTAATAACGGGTGCACCAATTGTTAAATTTGGTACGAAATGACTATAATTAAACACAACAACACAAGCAACACACAAACAACAAGATTAATATTTCGTTTTCTTAAAAATCTACACATGATTCCATCCATTCTCTACTCTTTCTTACTTACTTATCCTAAAAGTAAAAGTTTAATCGTTAATAGCAATAGAGGATGATGTTGTTTTGTTATCTTAACATACCATAACATCCATATGTAACCATTCAGCACCTTGCTCAAGCATATAGTTTGCATCACGAGCAAGGAATGCAAAATCACCGGATAACAAAGATGGACATATAATTGGTTGAAGTTCTTTATTTGTCATTGTTCTTTTCTTCTCTAATAATAGTAATAATAATAAATATAAATAATTTAAATGATAAAATAAATATGTATATAGGTGTACTACAAACTAACTGTAATATTTAAACGAATAAACTAAAAAAAAATTTAACCAATTGGAATTCGAGTGTGGTTGTTAAACAGAATTTTCATTGATTTGTTTTAATTCCCGAATGTGCACATTTAAATACCTATGTAAAAATATTAAATTTAATACGTAATTACGTTTTTTTTTAAATTTCATTTTCATTTTTTTTAAAAAAATAATCTTTTCATTCTCTTTTTTTTTTTTTACTTTGATTTATTAATTTTAGTTCAAACAAATAACTTCTTTGATTCCAGTTTTGGTTAATCTTCTTTAGATCATCCATTCATCTTTCTTTTTTTTTTTTTTTTGAAAAAACCAAATGAATAAAAAAAAAAAGGTTGAAGTTATTTTAAACAATTGAATCTTAGATTTTTGAAATTTTTTAAAAGGTTTTATTTTTATTTTTTTTGCAATTTTGGTACTATTATTTCCAAAACAAAGTTTGAAAATTTTAAGAATAGTGTGTTTTTTCACTCAATTGAATTTTTTCTTTCTCAAACAACCAAAACCACCAATTCCATATCTTTTTTTCAAAATTTGTAATTGTTTATTTATTTTTATTGTTTTGTGTATTTTTTTTTCATTTTTTTTTTCATTCTATCAAATCAAAGGTTGACTGTTTTTTAATGATAATTACTTGTTGTTATTGAATAAAATAAATCTATATATTTATAAATCTTTTACCTTTTTTTTTGTTTTGTTTTTCTTTCGTTTATTGTTATTTATTTTTATTTATATTAATATATTTTAATCATTTTTATTTTATTTTATTTTTGTATTAGATTTTATTTAAGTTCGTTTTCTTTTTATCACTTAAGTAATACTATTTTTTCTTTTATTTCTATTTCTCTTGTACATCACTTATCTAACCAATTACATTAACTATTATAATTATAACTTTTAAAAACTTATTCAAGTTAGCAACTGCTACGCTAATTAATATCGATGATACAATTTAAAAGTGTGTACATACAATAACATATCAATAACAATACCAATACAATACAATATAATATAATAAATATATATATATATATATATATATATATATATATATATATATACAAGTACAATAATATAACATCAGTAAGGATAAAAAGAATCGAAAGTAATTTTCTAAGAAACGACAAACAACAATTAAATAACATATTTCAAAAAAACAAACATAAAGTAGATATTCTCATAAAACATACACAATAGATATTTAGTTTAGTTGTTGTTTGTTTCTGTTTTTTTTTATTATTATTATCTATTTCAATAGTTTATTTAATTTTTATAAACATTTATATCACAAGATGCCAAATACAGAGAGTTCGATATATGATGATTACGATATAACAGATATTATAGGAGAGTATGTAAAGTTTACTTTTTTATTTATTTATTTATTTTATTATTCAATAATTAACTTTTTTATTTAAAGAGGTACATTTTCCTCTGTTACTTTAGCGACACATAGAAAATCAGGTAAAAGATATGCTGTTAAGGTATGTTGAAATGATTAGAGTCATCAGCAGCAACAACAACAACAACACCAAACTAATTGATCATTCATTTGACTTGTAAAGATTATAGATAAAGAATGTATAAATAATTCTCAGCGAAGAGAAATGGTAGATTGGGAAATAGCGATTCTCTCGAAATGTAGACATCCAAATATTGTTGAATTTTACGAGCATTTTGAATCGGATCAAGACATTTGTTTAGTACTTGAGTGGTAAGTGATATGATATATACACACACACATGAGTGAATGAAAATGAATATCGACATGTATACTATATATGTGGTATTTCATTGGATTTGTTTTTAATCATTTGGGAAACAAAAAAGATTATTAACAAAATTTTTATAAACACACAAACACAAACACACACACACTCTAATCATCATATCACATTCATTCATACAAATTTTTATATAGGATTCCAAATGGAGATTTATTTGATAGAATAGTAAAGAAAGGAGTTTTCACAGAGGAGGAATCAAGGCTGACAATGAAATCATTGTTTTCCGCTGTTGATTATCTCCATGAAAGATCTCTGGTGCACCGAGATCTTAAACCTGAAAATATTTTATTTAACTCGGAGGAGGGCGATGTCAAGTTGGCGGATTTTGGACTGTCGAAATACTACGAAGAGTCGGTCGGTATGGAGTCGGCCTGTGGCACACCGGCGTACAGCGCGCCAGAGATCAACAACAACAAGGTCTATCGAAAGGGCGTCGACATGTGGAGTTGCGGATGCATTCTCTATTTTATTTTGTTTGGCAAGCCGCCATTCTATCACAACGATGAATCAGAGATCTACAAGCTGGTGTCCACCGGCAAGTGGTCGTTCCCATCGAACCAGCACGAATACTCTGACGATGTGAAGGATATGATCAGAGGACTGCTGGAACACGACCCAGCCAAGCGTCTCACTGCCAAAAAGGCATTGTCACATCGTTGGATCACACAGGTACAGCAAGATCCATCGCCTTTGCTCTCATCAGTACCATCGCCACTACTTGTGCAATCGCGCGAAATCAACAACACCTCAAGCTTGGCCACAACACCCGACTTGCAACGATCACTTACACTCTCTGGTAGCGGCAGTAGTAGTGGCATCGGCAACAGCAACTACCTCACCAGCAGCAATAGCGGCATCGAAAACGCTCCACCACCCTCACCCAACAAACTGAGAGGATCAAACAGTTCGTCAACACCAATACCCATCAAGAAACATGGACTACTCCGATCTTCACTAAACTCCTCTATAGAAGCACACCGATTTAATGCACTGACACCACCAAGAGGCACAACGAAAAACTGTTTATTTGGTATTTTTGAAGAAAGCCAGCACCAACAACAACAACAACAATTTTCATCAGATGATGAAGAATAATCTTTCTTTATCAGCTATCAGCTTTATATAATATATCTATATATTCGTATTTCGCAAATAAACTAAACAGAAACACTCAGCCGACAAAACAGATGATAAAAAAAAAAGATTTTAAAAGAGAATTACGAAAGGATTCTTTAATGTAAATCTAAAATCATTGATAGTTGGCACTTTTTTTTTCCTTACAAATAATAACCAAACAATCTTTATTGTTTTAATCTAGTTGATCATCTTCAATTTTTAAAAATCCACCAAAAGTCAAACTTTCAGTTTGAAGTAATAAATGATTATTTGATATTCTTTGAATAACAACATCGTGATTGTATGATTCTATTTTCCAGCGATTGAGATTCTCTGGTAAAGACTTGGCAATCGATCTGACACTGTGAACCATTTCTTTGTAGTCGGTAAAATCATAACCAAAAATGAGTTGAGTTAAAGAAGATGGTATTGTACCCTTGATAATTCTATGATTATAGCCACCTAGATTCAACAACTCAAGATTGGACGGCAAAGAGTGTGGTACTAATGGCTGATTGAATGAGGTTCCAAACACTAATTGTTTCAAACTATTCGGGAGAGACAATGGTAAAATAGGTTGGTTGAAACATTGACCCAAATCGAGTGTCTGCAATGTCGATGGTAGTACTCCATTTGTTAAACGTTCATTGAAACCTTGATAAAATTCAATGGTTTTTACAGAGTTTGGAAAAATATTTGGGTGGAGAACGGTTTTCGCTTGGAAACAATGAAATATGACGGTTTCGGTGTTAGATGGAATGACATCACGTTCAATTGGTTGGTTAAAGAAGCGGCCAAATATCAACTCTTTGATATTCATTGGTAGACTACCTGGCCCTATAGGATCGTTAAATAATGGTGAGAACTGTAAAATTTCTAGGGTATTGGGATTTTCAAATGCCTCGATATCAAAGTGAGCGGAGCTTACGAATTTCCTGACTGATGATGGAATGGCGCCGGCCTCGAATTTCATAGATAGTCCTGCGATCAATACTTTAAGGTTGTTTGGAAGAATGGATCTATTTATAGTGATATTAAAGGTTGTATCGTATTCAAATTTCTGAAGGGACTGTGGAAGTAGGCCAGGTACCAACACCATCGGTGACATCAGCCTCAAGGTAGTCAGATACTTTGGCAGCATTCCAATTGTTAATCCATGACCGTAGTAAACACCCAATCGAAGAGATCGCAATGATTCTGGTAAACTGTTTACTCCAATGACGGTATTCTCTTTGATATACAGTTTCTTTAGATTCGATGGTAACATTCCTTCGGTTAGGGTAGCAGTGAATCTTTTACTGATCTCAGCATTTTCGATGGAGTTCAAAGATTTCAATGTGGAATGGAGGTTATCCTTAATCTTTAGAGTATTATATACCTTTGATAATGTTTCTATTTCCTTCATATCATTATTATTTTTATTATTTATATATACAGTTACTCTATTTCTACCATCTACATATAACAATAGTATTAGACAAATGTTTACTATGGTTTTCTTTGTATTAAATACATACTTTTTGATAAAATAAACTTTTCATCCTCTGATGTTTTGGATAAGTATATTGAAAACATATTAGCAGCATCATTTGTTTTTATTTCAGCTACATGTTTCTCATATAGTATAGAAATTGTATCTCTTAGTAGACAATGTTGTTTAAAGGAATGAGATGAATAAAACTTTAAAGTTAATAATCTACTTTTATGATAATAAAAGTATTTACAAGTGAACAATAAAGATATTTGATCTACATTCGACTTTATTAACTTGAATATATCAAGGATAGTAACAAAGTTTAATGATAATAATGATTTATCATTCATTCTTATAAATATTATTATTATCAAAAAAAAGAGTAGAAAAGAAATCTAGATTTCAATTTTATTTGAAAACGAAAACTATTCTTAGTTTTTTTTGGTTATCTATTATTTTAATTTATTATAATTATTTTTTATAATAACAAACAATGACTCCATTAAATATAGGTTGGTAATAATGGAAAGAGGTATTCTTAGTTTGCTTCTCTTGATGTATTTATTAGCGATACTCTCTGTTACGGCAGCCTCTGGTAGTTTCTCAATCTCTGTTAGTTTGGGCGTCAAATAGAGTAGTTCGAACAGTCGTTCAATGCAATGGCTGACTGCACTGATAGTCAGTGGAATCAATACATCCCTATGATTCTGATATAGATAAAGTGAGTAGATTACTGTGACCTCTAAGAGAACGGTACCACATTTGGTGATTATATTATTCTTTTCGATGCCACCTGCCTTTGGTTGAATGAGCGATGGTTTCTTATTCCACTTACTATCGACCATCAGAACTTCATACAATCTACCACCAAACAAAGTCAAAGACATTGCCAAACCGAAAGACAACGGTAAATATGAACAAACTAATTTCATGATATTGATATTTTTCTCTATTCTTCTATCTCACACCATAAAAAAAAAAAGTTGGTTATTATTAACAAATATAAACACCAATAAAATATTTTATTCAATTAATTATCATATGATTGGAGATTTTAAATACACAACTTTTTTTTTTTCTGTTTTTTTGTAACTTGAGTCGATGCAAATGTTAATTAAATAAGTTCACAGTGTTGTGTTTTTTTTAATGCTAGTTTTTTTGAGAATTTTTTTTTGTATTATTTATTTAATTTAATTGGTTTTTTTTTTTTAAATTAATTTTTGTGTGTATTTTATTCCAAAAATATAAATATATCTTAAAAATGAAATTAATAATTAATTTTTTTGTTTTTTTTTTCTCCTCTAAAGATAGAATAGAGAGAAGGATAGAGATTTAATTAAAGAATGTTATCTCTTCCACATATAATATTAAAGAATATCATTAATAATATAGAGGACAACTCTGATAGGATTTGTTTTGTTCTGTCGTGCAAGACTCTGTTTTCACATAGAGACAAATATCTGATATTCTCTGTGGACACTGCCAATGTCTATCACTCCAAAGAGTACTACCACCAACATAAATACAGTCTACATTCATTCTCTGAACAAATCATACAGTCTCTTAACCTGAGTGCACCATCTTTATCGCAACTCTCTATCATACTGGGCAAAGACAATGAACAACCAACAAACTTTATTGTAAATTCTTTAGATCCATGTAAGTTTTTTATTGTTTTATAGTATTATTATATTTTTTTAAAAAAAAAAAAAAGGTTTGGAAATTAATTAAATTTAATTAATTTAGCAACTGGAAAGATACCAAATATTCCAAGAGATGTTTTAAATCTTACTTTTGGTGCAAAGTTTAATTATTATATTCCACCACGTACCATTCCAGAATCGTTGGTTTCACTACAGTTTGGATTTACATTCAATCAAGATATCACAGGAACTCTACCCAGTAGCATTACTAATCTGACGTTTGGATGGTATTTCGATTGTGAATTACAACCTCATACACTGCCTTCGAATCTAAAGAATCTGACGTTTGGTTTTCACTTTAATCGGTTGTTTGAGAGAGATGTTCTGCCACCGCATCTCCAAACACTCGACCTTGGAACTCGCTACAATCAACCGTTTGCAAAGAACATTCTACCCAATACCATTACCTATCTTAAGCTGTCCGACCACTACAACCAACTGATAGAGCCGGGCGTGTTACCTAGCTGTCTGGAAACACTTCGCTTTGGCGCATCGTTTAACCAGCCTCTGGAGCCTGGAAGTCTGCCGAACGGACTGGTCTATCTGCGGTTCGACCGTGACTTTAACCAACCCATTGAGTACGACGTGCTGCCTCAATCACTAATATATCTCAAGTTTGGTAACTCTTTCAATCAGGAGATCAAAGCCAATGTGTTGCCACAGAAGTTGAAAAAGCTAAAGTTCTGTGAGGACTACATCATCAAGCTGCCAGAGAAATCGATACCAGACTCGGTCAGACACATCAAGCTCGGTCGTAAATATATCAAACTACATCCATTCTATTCAATTCCTTCGAGCGCCATCATCAAGATATTCGATAGTTCAATTGAAATCCACCGGTACTATGAACCCTATATACTGGCGCTGTCCGGTTGCTACGACGGTGGATTCATGACGACTTCCGACCTGAAAAGACTACTTCTCCATGGAAATCAACTTAAATACATGCTGTGTGATAATGATTAAAATAAGATTTAATTAATTATTAAATGAATGTTTTATAACAATACCAAGTAAAGATAACTACTATTAACATTTGTAAAAATAATAATAAAACTAAACTCTTTAGTTGAATATACTGTCGTTTGTATCGTATTCAACATATCAAAAAAATCTACATGTTTAAAGCCTATCATATTTATTAGTTAATCGCCACTTGCACAACCTTTACAACCACATTGTACACATTGAACGATGTTTCCTTCTTCCAGTTTATCTTTTGGTACACGACATATACAAGTTGAATGATTATGATCTTTAGTTTGTATACACCGTAGACAGCATAGACGTTCGTATCCAATCTTCTTCCATTTAGCTATTAGATTCTTATCGGCATAGCCTTCGTTCAAACAAAACTCGTATAGTTCTCTGCTGATTCCATCTTTCTTGTAGAACAATTCATATATATATCTAGATCTTTGATGATGAATTCTAAAGATTGGCCATAATACTTCTACTTTTCTTTTACCTTCGTGTGGTTCGTTTTCAGCTGAAATAGTAATTTCGTCTTTTATATTAATATATAATAAACTTTGACATCAATATTAGCAACTACATACCTTCTCTCATCTGTTGTTGAAATTCATCTAATTTTGGTTCTAACTCTTCCCATCCTTCTGGATACTTCTTTCTCTTTGTCTTTATCTTTGGCATCTTTATATTAATAACTAACTAACTAACTATTAGTTTATAAATGATTCAAACAAATATATTTTTTTTTTTTTTTTTCAAATTTTAAAAACATTTTTGTGACAGTTAATTTAGCAAAAGAGAAACTAATTTAAATAGAAGAATTTATGACAATTGTTAATTATAAATTAAGAACTCAAACTTATAGTAGTAGTTTGAGAGTTGAGTTTAGTTTATATACTTTATTTGAAAATTTGAGTTAAATATATATGTATAAGTTTTTTTATGTAATATTACACATTTTTTTTTTAAATATCTGTTTGTTTTGTTTTGTTTTGTTTTGGGTTAACGCATCATTGATGACATTGATGTTGTGCTGCTGCTCTTCATTGAAGTATCTCTTTGGGTTGTGAATGACTCTTTCGAAGGTGTGATATAAGCCATTCTGGTTGTGTTGGTACTCTGACGGATACCACCGAGATGACCTTGGTTGTAAGAGTAGAGAATACTCATGACCGGGATGATCTCAGTCACTATGAGACCAACGAAGCTGAATACGATATTCGATGGGTTGGCAGCGACCAAGATCAATACGAATACGCAATGCAAGATGAAACCAATCGAACAGGTGTGTGTCACCAAGAAGATACGTTGTTGTTGTTCCGATCCGCTTTCGCTGGTGGTTACACTCTTTCTGAACTTCATCATCAAGTAGATCGAACCACCAAGATAAACGAATGCAGCTCCGATAATAAGCGAGATGACAGCTTGTACCACAGCATAGAATATCGATACGATACGTTGTGGTGTTGTGTTGGTTTGCTCAACGACGAGACGTGCACCACAATCGTTGGAATACTTTCGTTCCGAGAAGTTAAACACCAATATAATAATGATAAACAATACGTAGAGGATGATATTGATTACACCGATCATCGTTGAGAATTTCGAGAGAATGTTGTTACTGAGTTTAGATCTTACGATGACGTACCACAATACAACAATGATAGAGAACGATGTAAAGTAAATAAAGGTTGGCAATACAACCAAGATATAGTCGGCAATACCCGATTGCGATAGTTTACCACTTGGTAACATAAAGAAGTAGATCGCTCTAATCGTTATGAACAAAGTAACGGTGGCAATTAACAAGTGTACCAGCTTGAATCGATCGATATTGTAAATCACTTTGTAGAGTACCATTCCAAGTTGAATGATTCCCCAGAGTGCGTTCAAAGCAAAGATAGCACCGAGTGTGTAGATCATTGCTGTTGCCGATCGATCGAATATCTCCTTTTGAACGTCACGCCAATTAGCAACACGTACAATTGGGAAATACGATTGATAGGGTGCAGAGAAGTTGGCACAAATCATTACAGGTGAACCAGGTTCTCTAATGGTTGCAGTTATCTCTGCATCTACAGGTACCAATACACTGGAATCGTTGACGCTCTCTGTAGCAAAGTCATAGTACTCGAACTGTGAAGACAACTCACCGGCTTGAAGACACACACCGTAGTTATTGACACCGGTAGCTTGCACTTTGATACCGTCATTCAATAACGAACCAATTAATCCACCGTGTGAATTATAGATTGCATAGTTATCGGGTTTCTTGTAGGATACGAAATCGGAACTAAGTGAGGTGGTTGTCGTTGCCTTGAATAGCTGCTTACTAATCTGTGAGACAATGACACTGTTACATGAACTCGGTACGGAATCTGGATTGAAAATGAGATGACCGAGCGAGAATTTGAATATAGATGAATCGAGAGCACACGCTTGAGTTGTACCCAGTAGGATTGCCGACGATGTAAAACATTGTGAACCACCAGGACCTGAACAACTGCAGGCAATCGAACTCAAGGTTTCTTGCAGACGTTCCATTCTACACATAGCTGAAGAACGTAGAAGATCTACGACGTGACCGTAGTAAGCATTACTCATAGCTTCCGAGAATGCTTCCAAGTCGAAAGCAGGCTCCCAAGATGTTACGTTGATAGGTGCAGCAGGCAACCATTGCACAGTCTTTAGTACACCTGGCAACCATCGTGCCGGTGTCCATTGAAACATTTTAGACCACTCGTGATTACTATCGCAATGACCACATTGTTCTTCGGTCATCTCATTGAAACGATGTTGATTCTGAGCACTGAATGGCGCATCATCTGGTATCTTACAACCGAAATACGACTCACAAGTTGTCTTGTTTGTAGATTGTTCCCACCATGTATAGTTATTACCCAATTTCAAACAATCCGTTTTGGTATAGACTTTAGGAACTGCAGAGAAACATCCTCTTGGAGAATCGTGTTCATTCTCATAGTTACAAGTCGGTAGTGTATTCTCACTGAAGTAGGCGTAGTGTCCGTGTACACATTTACCTATTCCAGGTGGATAGTTCAATACGTTCGCTGGGTCAAAGAAGTAGCTGTCAGAACATGAACCTCCTTTCGATGTACATTGTTGCTCGGTTGCACAAGGTATGTCTTCTACGGCACACATATCGTTTCCTAACACTTGGTATTTGCATTCAGATGACGCCAAAGCAGGACAGTTTAACCACTTGAATTTGGTGCCTGTGCATTGTGCCTGAGTGTAGTTGTTGTAACAATAACCAAACGTTGAATTCCAGTTGGCAAATGGAACGTTTGCATCCACGCAATTGGCTTGAGTGATCGCTGGTGCAATACAAACTTTCGATGGACCAACACACTTCTTTCCACAAGCTTGAGTACATCTACCTAGTGCTGCACATTCAGTTGCTGTCTTTCCAACTTGGTAGTCACCATTTGGCAACAAACAAACCTGTTTATCTTTACAGGTAGCTTCAGAATTGTAATCGGGGATGTAATGGCAGAATGTCTGGTTATTCGAACAATGACCACAATAGTGGGTCTTTGTATTACATTGTTGTTCACAAGTTGGGTCGTCATTCAAACACTCTATCCAAGGACACAAAGTGTTAAGCTCACACATCTCTGGAGAGTATTGATTCTTGGTCCAACGATAACCACCGTAGTAACCATCGTAGCAGACATCGTGTTCGACTTCACAAGTCTCATCGACACATGACGGTGGTGGATAGCACAGCGAGATGTTCGCTGTTGTTTCATAGGTGTATCTAGTTCGATAGAAATTACCAGAATGATAAACACAATCGTCCGACAAGAATGAATTGTAAAGATCATCTACTGTCGACCAATGATTTTGGCTCTTGAGGAAGTAGATGGTTGCAGACGAACTGGAATTCAAAACACAATCGATGTAAGCATAGTCTTGGCTTATTCTACTTGGTTCACAGTAACGAGAGTATAGATTGCATGTGGTACCGTTTCCACACATCGAGTCGTTGTCACAACTGATTCGATCGTATACATATTTACAAGAACGCAGTGTGTTGGCAATGCTCGATTGGAATTCCTGGTAGTCTGCATAGCTAATTGCACAGGCACCGTCCTCCACATCGGTCAAAGACTTGTAGTAATCATCGAGAATCGATACGGTACAACCATAGCTGGAACACTGTTGATCGACCAAGTTATTGTAGACACCAACGAAACTCTTGGTTGGCACAGTCACATTACGTGGTATACAACACTGGAAGAATTGACGAGTGGAATTGCAACATGGGTCCAATTGATACTCTGGATCGCTTGGTGTATAGGTACAGATAGTCGATAGCTGATTGGTGTCCACTGTTTCTATTTGCAGAAGATCATTGGCTTGACCCATACAACCAACCCAAGCATCTCTAAGTGTGTAGATATCGATCATGTATCTCAAAGTCGATACCTCTGCATACGATTTCGAATTGAAAATCTGACTCTCTGTTGACTTGATTAGATCCAACACCTGATTGAATTGATCATAATCACATTTTGAATTATTCAATTGGAATCCAACTGTAATATCAACTGGCTAATAAATTAAAATGTAATAATGTTTTGTTTGTTAGTAGAGTCTTTAAAATTCATGAAACAATGCTATTACTTACATTTCCTTTGGAATCAACTAATGTATTTAAAAATTGAAGCTTCGATCCAACGATTGTGTTGATATCACTGTGAATAACTAAGGAGTCTTCACGGTACGATAGAATAAAAGCGGCTTGGAATGTGTGATTCTTTGGTGGATTTTGATTGTCGTTGAATTGTAGAGTTTCGAAAAAGTTGATCTTTTTGAAGAGATCGAACGACTCTAGTACATAGGGTACTGGCCACAATGGATTGATGTTCACTCTTGGATAGGATACAAAAAATGCTCTGGTATTCTCCCAATAGTCACTACGTGTAACCGAACCATCGGGATACAACAGTCTGGCTGTGCCCATAATATTGTAGGTTCCACCGCTCGGTGAATTATTTACAATCGATATTGGCCAGATCTGTGCTGAACTGGTAACAGAACATGAATAGTTAGAAGGATAATACGGAACAATCGAAATATATAATATTTTTTTAGTTCCATTCTCATAGGGACCAATAGCCAAAGTAACATAGTCATCAACTAAGTAAATATTGAAAAATAACATTAAAATTAATTTTCTTCTCTGTGTTGAAAAAAGCAAACTAAATAACTTTTGAAAAAGTTGATTATCTTTTCTTCTTACCTGGATGATTATAAACCCATTTAATGTTTTGAGAGATTGCTGTTGGATAAGGTTCACTCGGATCATCGGAAATAAAGAAATCTATATCCTCTTGAAGTGCTGGACAACCAATCGATAGATTCATTGGCCTGTCCACTACAAATGTGTAGAAATTTGGCTGTTCGCTAATATGTGATTGGCCAGTAATAAGTTCTCCATCGTTAATACATTTGTGATCGGTTGTGAGATCTGTACATTTTGGAGCAGTTGGCAATGGCTTTGAAATTGGCGCAGAAAAAATAGACAAAGAAAAAGAAATAGATTGCGTCGTGGGAATTATAGAAATGAAATAAGTATCGTTGGTCCACACCAACACATTGGCCCAGTCGACATTATCGGTTGGACAGATATTCAAAATATTATTTAGATATGGGTTTTCATATCCAATCATTCTTCCAGTTTCTGTATTATCTGTATTTGCAAACAAAATAAAACTACCTTGTTCTTGTGATGCATATAACTAAAAATAAAACACAGTAATAATAAATTAATTAGAAAATTGGTTTAATTTTCATTCAAATCGATATGAAATTTGATACATTACTCTTATACCCTCGCAATATGATGTATTAGCTTTATAACGGAAAGCTAGAGGTCCTTGAATATTTTCATAGCTGTAGGTTCGGTTGGCTTCAATTGGTATCCAGGGTTTGTTGACATAGTCACACAGTTGGTATATAACTTCCTCATTGCCATAGTGTGCAGTGGTGTTGGTTGGACAGGCAGGACACGAAGGATTGCCAGACACGGTTTGTCCACATCGCGATGTGCTAGTGTAGTCGCAGGTACAATCGATGGCTGGTGTTTCACATGTGAAATTGGAGCAACTTATCGATTGAAGCATGTAGAGATCACTGTCAAAAGTCACCTCCATCAATGCAAAATTCATATCGAGTCCAACTACATTTGTACTTTTCTCAGAGACCACCGACGACTGAACTTCAATGGCCAGGCTAGGTGTCGGTATATATATAGCCAACACCAAAAACAGAAGTATAATAAAAGTAGAACTCCACCACCTAACCAACATTCTTTGTATATTCATTTCTCGATGCAACACTCTTAGAAACAATTGGCAAATTGAATCTATTGTAAAATGGAAATTTACAAAAAAAAAAAAACAAAAACAAATAAAAAACTATTTATCTTTATTTTTCTTTTCTCTCGAGAAACTTTTATATTTCAATAAATATATGGTTTACTTCTCCAAACAAATTTGTATATATTGATAGATATTTGTAGTATAATAGATTTAAAATCAAAAAAAGAATCAAAAAAATCCCAACATTGTTTGTCCGAGAGAAAAAAAAAATAAAAACCCTTCTTTTAAGAATAAAAAAAGATTTGGTGATGAAACTGGTGTGTGGTAACTGGTGTTTTTTGACACACATCGATTCTAGTTTTTTTGTTTTTTTTTTGTTTTTTTCTTAAAGCTTTATGCCCCTCTTACTTCATCAATCTTTAAAAAAATATCAACTACGTTAAACAAGAATTTTACTTAAAAAATATCTTGCTCGCAAAATTGCAACCCATTACTGAAAATAAAAAGATATTTATAATAATTTGTGGTTTTTTTTTGTAATTTTCAATCCTCTAATTAAGTCAGGATTACTCTTTTTTTTTAATTTGATGTTGTTTTTATTTTATTTTATTTTATTTTTTGAAGATTAATTTGGTTGTAACAAATGAGGTTGCGAGGGAGAGAATGAAACCCCGCTTGGATCGGAAATTGCAGCGAAGAGGCTTCAGATCTTTCAAAATTAATACCTCTATTTAGACTGTTTGACTGACTTGGAAAAGGTCCTTTAGGATATTTCTGTAGAGTTTGTTGGTGGAAAGGTGTTATTTTCTATATGGAGGTGTTGTTACTACTCTTCCTACGAAAACCTCATCAAAACTGACAACCTATCAGAATGTAGTTATTGCAGTGGTAATCATTAGAATAATGCTCTAGAGTAACTTCATTATTCTGTTATACAATAAAGAAAGTTTATTTCTTTGACTGACCTTTGAAAAAATTGTAATGTTTATCACAAAGTGGGTAGAGTCGGTTCCAAACAAGAAAAAAACGTAGATCTACGCAGTTCACCACTCAATTATACAAAGTTATCAAGCAAATCTAATTAGAGATTCCAAAAACTCTTTTTCTCGTCTGTTTATAATGGCGCAGTACTCCTACAGTCAAAAGTTTATTTTTTCAAAGATCAAGCATTTAAATAAAAGTGTTTACCTCTCTTTACAAACAATTAATTGTAGAACAAACATTTACAAAAATAATAATTTTATATGAACAAGATTTGCCCAATATCTATTTGTTTTCACTAATATAGTTAATATGGTAATTTTGTAATGTCATTCATTGGGTGGAGAAATTAAAAAGAATTAGAGGTTCAAAAATATGTGTATCATCAGAATGAACATATTAAATGTTAGTTACTTTAATAATAACAACACAATAGTGTAATGAACAAAGATATAATGATTGGTGTATGTATTCACTCTAAACTTCAACACTTCTGATCATATAAACTTATAATAATATTATACAATACAATTATTTTTCATCATAACTTTTTTCATTACTGTTCTTTCAATCGTTTGCATTGCATTGTTTTTATTATTTATATAGGGGTGAAGCATGTTAGCGCTATACTTTATAAACATCAGATGATTTAGTTCGATGTTGTTGTTGATAGGTTGGAAGATTTATTTGGTGTGAGGTGTGTGTGGATGTGTGTGAAAAGGTGATAATATATATATATAAAAAAAAAAAAAGTAATAAAATGAGCTAACACACTCATACCTAATGTTGATATGAAAAAAAAATGAAGCAATGATTGCTAGACTGCTGCATATTCTAGTGGTGCCAAAGATGAGTTGTAGTTATCTGATGTTCATTTTCATTATGATCATCAAAAACTCATTATATTAATTGGTATTTTGTAAAGGAAGGAAACAAACACATCCGGATAACAATGAGCAAAAATAATGCAATGTTAGAGTGTTGCAGCATGCATTGTAGTATCACATCAATAATATTAATCCAATCATATTTTAAATATTAAAAATATATTTTTATAATGGCAGAAGTTAATTATAAATACTGGAGCATTTTGATTTGGTTCATCATTGTTTTCAATCCTTTTCATATCAAGAACAACAACAACTATAACACCTAAACTTGGATTATTAATATTTCTAAATCTAAAGAAAAAACAACCATGAGATTAGTATTAGTCATTTTCATTATGTCACTTTTGGTCGCCAGCACCATGGCCAAAAAGGAAAAGAAAATAGAAAAGGAAGATATCCTCTTCTCTACTGAATTTAGTTTTTATGACTTTGGTACCTTTATGGGTGGTGTTTTCCGTGGTATTGAGGTAAAGTAGAAATATAATTATTAATTAACTTATATAACCTAATTAATTTTTAAATGCTCTTTATTTCTCACTTTCTTTCTTTACCCTAAAAGGTTGGTGTCAACCCACAAAATGCTTCAAAATGTTTCATCAGAGCCGATGCTGTTGGATCACACTTTGGTAAGGCATTCCAATTGTTATCTATTGGTTTCACCAATGTCTCTGCTGATGTCGTCAACCAATCCATTGATGAGTTGGGTAACGGATTCGAAGCCATCTACCCATTGCTCAAGGACTGTGGTTCAACCCAAATCGTAATTGACATTGCCAAGATCGTCCGTACCATCAAGACCGGAGGGTAAGTTATACATAATTTCCTTTTATTAATTCATTCATTCGTGACTAATTTTTCTTTTCTTTTTCTTTTAAAAGTATCACTGCTTTGGCCACCCAAGAAGGTTTGAAGATCTTTGCCAAGAAGGGTGAAATCTCAACTGATTTGAGAGTAAGTCTTAATAAAAACCAAAAACTATACTTTAATATATTGTTAACATCATTCTAAAATTAATCAATTTTCCAATCAATAGGGTATTACTGCTAACTTCCAAGCTGGTAACTATGATGCCTCTGGTGAATCCTTGGGTAAATTGATAGCAATTATCCTCGTTTAAAGAGACCTGTGTTTTACTTTTCAAAAGTAGACCTACAAAAAGGTTTTCTCTTAAATTTAAATTATTATTACTCATTTAAAGAAGAATAAAAAAAAATTTAATCAACATATTTTGATTAATGCTATTCGTTTTAGTTTGTTTTTCAAGCTATATAGCTTAATTATGATTATTATGTATACATATTTTTATTTACTATTGATTGTTATTATTATTAATATATTCTTGATTGTTACTATTGATTTATAAATAATTTATACAGTTTCTTTCTTGTCATGTTTCAATAAACTATAGTTTGAAATACTTTCGAATTGAATTTGATCCAAGTGACCCTTCAATTGTAGTGATTCAATAGAACAATATGTTACGTTAGTTATGAAAAACAAAAGCGATTGATGAGTAATAAAGTATTGCTAGTTATACATACTCTTTGAATGACTTCATCTAAATATAATACAAACTTTGGTATCTGTTCAATAAGATACAATTCAGTAACACCTTTCTTCTTACAAACATCTTTAATACATTCAGAGATTGGATGCATTACATCCGATACTATAAAGAATATGATATGACATGATAATATGAATTAGTAACTTTTATTTATTCGTTTAAGTTAGTTTCCAAAAGACTTACAAGATAATTCATCATAAACATCTGAAGAACCAACTAAGAATATCATTAAATCACCTATATTTGTATATACAACGATGCTACCACTGTTATCAAATTATGTTAATATATTAACACCATCTAATAATAAATAACGATAAATAAAACAATATTACCCAATATCAGCAACTAGATGTCTTTCACTCTTTGCATAGATCCATTCATCTTTAGTTAGTTGATACAATGATTTTTCAAACTCTAATTGTTTCTCTTCGATTGTTGTATTATAATACTTTGAAAATATAACATTTCCATTAAGATTTGTTATTGTAATTGAATTGATCATATCTTTTAATTAAATAATATTGATGATGTCTAATCTAAGCTGATCAGTTTATTGTTGGGACTATATAAATTTTTAATTATTTTTATTTAAATTTTTTTTATAATTTTATTTTTTTCTTTTCTTTCTTTTTTTAGAATGATTGACGATGTTATTATTTTGAGACTCGAATATCTCATCTAATGATGAAGATGATGAAAATGGTGATGATGGTTCAGATGTTGATTTAGCTTTGTAATTATTATTAATTACATTGTTATCATTATTAATTACATTGTTATCATTGGCATCACTAATAATAGGAGGTAAATTTAAATTGTTTGGATCTGGTATAGAATGAGAAATATTATTATTATAGATATTGTTGTTTGTAGTTTTGGATTTCGATTTTTTGTTTTTAGTTGTTAAAGATGAAGATGATGACGATGGTGATGGCGGTGAAGTACTGTCTACAGATGACGATGTAAATAAAGTGGAGTCTGGAATGATCGTCGGTTGTGCCGGTGTATCGGGTGTGAATATATCGTGATTGGCCAAGTTCAATTGACCTTGATCATTACAATACATCTGGTAGAACTGCAAGATATCTTTGTTTCTTACTAATTCTTTCTTTTGATATTCAATGAATTTCGTTAACTAAATTTATATCAATTGTTTGTTAATATATTATTATACTTTAATGCTTTATAGTGAAAGTGATAACTCACAGAAAGAACAACATGACGTTTTCTTAGTATTACATAGAATTTGGGACAAAACAATAGGAGAAGAGTACATAGTATGAATGCAGAATCTACACTTGCAGTGGTGATATATTGTGCATTGTAATTATTTGGGAATGAGAATCTCAATGAAATGAATACAATGATTAATATAATATAGTTGTAGATCTATTGTTTTAAAATGATGATTAATATACTCTAGTAACTATAAAGTCTATTTAGCTAGATACATACTAATATACCAATATAAGTTGGTTCATTAAATGATCCTGGTGATGATAGATATCTCCTTCCCATGTAAACATATGCACAACAAATCATCAGTAATATCATCAAGTATACCAAAGTTATTACAATATAGACCCAGCCTTCAGGATTAGAGCAAACATGACTGACCTCTCTCTTATCGATATCATAGACATACATTGGTTTCGAATTAGAAACTGCAACATTAACAATAAGTAGAATCTAAATTTTAATTTATTTCATTTTATTAGTAAGAATAAATATATAATATTGTATAATAATAATAATAATAACTTACAATTGGTATAATAGAGAGAATAATTAGCCATTTAAATAAAAAGAATGTTTCCAACTTTTAAATAATAATAATATAAAAAGAACAATAAATTAGTAGGTGTTTGGCATGATTAACTTAAATTAAGTAGTAATTACATTTGATTTCTGTTCGAAATAACTATCTTTTCTTGTTTTCCATATTCTCCATTCTTTGATGATTACAGGATTTACACATAGGATGACACCGATTGGAACAGCCACCAATTTTCCTATGCAAGAGAATGTACTTGTTCCAAAGAGTAAGAAGTTTGAAGCAGCTATAAAAAGTAATCCAACGATAACTGTGAGGAGGAAGTAGGGATTCGAATGTTGAATCATAATATTCTTCCAATATACGAGTATCATTATTCCAAACACCAAGGTGATAGCCATTAGAACAGCAGTTAAAACTGAAAATGCAACAATCGAGGTGTGTGAAATATCTCTTTGTTTCAAACAATAGTATTTTCCTTGGTAGGCATACGGTTTATAGTCCTTCTTGCATGGTATGATGATGATGTTGTAGGCCAGAGGGCCAGTACGTGCCGGCGGAATCGATGTAAATATCAGGTCACAAGAGGTACCGGGAAATCCACTAATTTCAATGTTATACATAATCGATTTACCCGTTGGCGTCAAAGAGACCTGTTGGATTCCACTTATGTTGACATTGTCACATCTCTCCTGAACGTAGAATGAAATTTCGTTGGAACCTCTATAGTCGTTTCCAAACGCATCGAATGCCGCAATACTGACTTGGATCACCTCTGGTGTGTCCAAGATACGCGGCAATATCACCGAGAAGTTATTGTAGTAACTATTTATATTGCCACCAAAGGTAGAAGTACTATTGATGAAATGAGAGTTGTTAAATATTACTTTGCAAATTATATCGGGTGTCATATAATAAACGGTTGCACCTGAAATCCAAGCTCGATTATCTATGAATGTTGATGAGTCGATCTCACTTATACACGTTCTATTTTGTCCACCATCGTCCAATTCTCGATAGGTAATAAATGTACCATACGGTGCATAGTTATTCGTTGCTCTTGTAACCTCTGCCACAAAAACACCTGTTTGATCCAATGATATTAAACCTTCCAACTAAAATTTTAAAAAATTAATAAACTCACGATTATAACATAATAATTAGTCAATAAAAAATTCTTACAGTAGTTCCTGTATTGTGTTGAAAAATGCTGGAGCTTAAATAGATTTGATAAAGCTCTTTGCCATAAATAAGACCATTATCGACTTCATTGTTTTCAAAATAGCAAATATAAAGATACACTTTCGATTCCATCGAAGCTGATATCAATTTAGATGATTTTGTTGATATTACAATAAGACCTGCAGCCAGAAAGTATGCCCTATCCGTAAATCTAAAGAGTGCATCTCTACTGGTACAGTCCCTAATGAAATTTGAAATCATCAATAAAAATCCACCACCATCAATATCGAAAGCTACTCCGTCAATATCTAAAAATTAAGAACATTGGAAATTAGTTTATAATTTTTGCAAAAATATTAACATACATACCGTGAAACAAGGTGTACATAACTACTACACTAACTCTAGAATCAGATCTAATTATTGTTCCGTTGATATTGAAAAATGCACAATCTTGAATTGTTAAAGATCCAGAGTCATACATTGAAATTGAATGTTGATTCACAGAAGAGTTGGAAAATATTGTTAACATTATTTCATACGAAGTTGATGCAGTACCAATATCAGATACTGAAGGACCAAAATTCCCATTTATAATACAAGTACTTATACTATTTAAAATAAGTAATAATAGACTTAACAAAATTCTTTTTTTCTAATCTTGTTCTTATTGTTTTTAACTTACTATCCTGAGCTTGTCTCTGAAATATATATAATGCCTGAAGATGTACTGGATATATTTTCTTGTATTATACAATTCTGAAGTATTATCTTTGAGTTTATCGAAATCAAAATACCTATTCTTGAGACATTATTTTGAATTCTGCTGGAGTTTAAATAAAAATAGGTTTCATCTATAGTCAGAAAAAAATTAATAGATGATTAAAAACAGAGAATAAAATCTAATAGTTACAAAAAATAATTCCATAAATTGAATAATTATAAATGAATAATGCTCGATTCAGAGTAATATAGGTGTCATTTGCACTCATGATAGCTAAAGTAAGACTATTACTAATAATTCTTGGTCCAGTAAATAAAACTGATGATTCAGTGAACTCGAATAGAACATCATAAATATTTTTCTGAATAGTCGAATTTCTAAATACAAATAAACCTTTATAAATTATGTTAGAAAAATATAAATTTAATACCAAAATTAAAACTTACTCCCTTCTGCCAAAATTAATAATTTTCTAGTATTATTAAAGAATGTTACATTATCTACTATTAATGTTGAATTTTGAAGATAGAAATCTGAAATAGTTGGTCGAATTGTAAGAAGAATAGAATCAAAGCCAAAGCTTGACGGAAACAAGACTATTCTATTGTAAGGCACCTTTCCGATGGTAGAATGTGCTATTGTCAGTTGATTTAATCTTAAAAGGCTTTTGAACAATGAAATGAACTCCCCCGAGTCTGACATGGTAATAATAGTTTCATTCGCTCTTCCAGCCTCACCACTGACAACCAATAGATAGATATTATTCAATTCCAAAATTGGAATAAACCTGTAATCATAATAACCAGGAGCCATCAACACATTATAAATCACTATTTTATTATCTACTAGATATTGTTTTGCTCCCTGTAAACTAAAACAAGCACTTCCTGTCGAACTTCCACATCCATCTATATCTGTTCCATTAGGTGAAAGATAAATATCGAATCCATCTATTATTAAAAAAAGATTGTTTTTTTTATAAAAAATTAATGAAACAATAGTAAATCTTGATACCATATTTTAATAATAACTTACAAACTACACTTATACCTAAATAGAATAAAAATAATAAATAAATAAAAGAATATTTCATTAATTACTATTTAATTAAATAAAAATATTAAACAGATCGATCATGGTTTTAGATAATTAAATAGTATGTTTTTTTTGATAGTATTAATAATTTCAATAAATATATCATTTTGCTTTTCAAACAAAAAGTTGTGTTAGTGTTTGTAATTATATATATATATATATATATATATATATCTATATTTTATATTCATCACACGTGTATTTTTGATTTACTTTTTTTTTTTTTGAATATGATCATCAATAGATTGGTGGTGCAATATTAATTAATAAATAATAATTTTATTTTTTTTTAAATTAGTGACATTAAATCGAGAATAAATAACATGATCATATTAGCTTTTACTTCGACAATATCTTCCCAGAATATTATAGCGGTAGAACCTAATCTTCTTGCTACACTAATTACATATTTAGCATTTGATTTTCTAGATTCTCCTATTAATTAAAAAATTATAAAAATAAAATATTTAAATTAAAATTAGTTGAAAGAAAACTATAATAATAAGTGATGATAGAAATAACATACCATCAAAATCCTTTGTGAAAACATTTGATGAATCAATGCAACCTCTGCAAATCGATTCTAAGAGATCCAAGAGGAATAGACTGTCTTTCAGGCTAGAGTCACTGAAACTCTTGATGGCCGTATGGAAACCAGATGAAGCGACTTGATTGTTTGCCCAAGATACGAGATCAGCCTCGGTGATGTCTTTACCGTTTTTACCTTTGAGATTTACCTTACGGAGTACACTGTATCTCATCATTTGCCAGACAAAGGAGAGCAAGAACTTTTTGTGTCCGTCAACGAAATCCTTACCGGCAATACCGACCAACGAGAATTTGAGATCTTTTCCTAGTTTAACACAGTAGTTACAATTCTCTGTCATACTATACAAATTGGTTGGATTGGTGTTGACGTGCTTCCAATTAACGATTCCCGGTGAGACTTGATCGAGAGCTCTCAAGAGTAACAGTCCATCTCTAAAATCATCCATGCTAGCAGCAGCGATATCCACGGTTTTTAACCATTGTTTGGCAGCTTTCTCTTCACTGGTGATCTCCGGTGAGTCAGAGGCGATCGTTTCCTTGTCCATGGACAAGCTGATTCCCGAGTTCTTATCGAATAGCTGTGCCAAAAACAATAGAGTCGAATGAGAGGTCTGATCATCATTTATATCGTCACGCGAAATTAGACCACAACCGATTCCCTTGCAATAGAGCATCATTGCATCGATATTATTGTTATCCTTGAAATCCGGATGGAGTTGCGAGAACAACGATAATAAAACTTTTTCGCCAATGTTGGTAAAATTGGTAATCAGGGGTTGATGTGTTTGTTTCATGTAGTGATTGATCCATCTCTTCAGATAGGCAGGCGGTTCCAACATAATGAAATTATCCCAACTCTCTTTCTTGTCATCGGGTTTCTTCTCTGGATTGTGTTTCCAGAGATAAGCAAGTTCAGGATGATGCTTCAAATTCACTCGTTGAAGGAATCCAATATAAATAATTTCAAATAAAAGCTTAAATAACAGTAAATCATTCTGTAGAAGAATAACATTACCAAATGGTTAGTAACAATATTATTATAGTAAAAACATCTTTTCTTTCTTACATTTATATCTAGATTTGAAAGTTTACGATCGGCTCCATATGATTGTATTGAGTTTACAATTAAGTTGACATTCTGAGACATATGTGATTTATTACATGGTGGTTTATGAAGTGCTCTTGAATCAATACCATCATCAATAAAATGATTTACAACATTACTATTTGTTTGTTTTTTAATGGAAAGGATATGTTAATAATAATAGATTTTCATTAAATTGATTAAAACATACCAAAATACAAATCCATCACGAAGTTGACTGGCTACACAGTATTTGCAAGTTAGTGAGAGTTGGTTTGGTAGCAGTCCATTAATATATTTTATCATTTCTAAATCTCTGCCGGTGAGTGAGCCATCTATGCACTGGTGACTGTCGAGTACTTCATTTGAAGTAACCTGTGCCAGCTTGGCTTCAAGTTGTTTGTTCGACTCCATCATTTCAATGAGAAGTGATTGTTCTTTCTCCACCTTCTTTTGCTCCTCGAGTTGCAATCTCAGCAACTCACTCTCCTTCACAATGAAATCAGACTGACTCTTCTTCATCTCTTGTCTTAGTAGATTGTTCTCCTCTTCCAACTGCTTCTCTCTCTCTTTGGATTGCTTCAACTCGTTAAGTTCCTTACGCAAAGCATCAAGTTCCTGTTGCAGACCAACACACGATTCACAAACAGTGGAACTATTCTTCAGTGCCTCCAATGCCAGTTTCATATCTTCAACTTGTTTCTTGTGAGTCTGAACTACGCCAACCAATTCATCACAAGTCTTCTTTGTCTGATTATGCTCCAGACATCCAGGACATTCTCTCTCATTCAAACGTGTCAATTCATCGCTGTGACTCTTCTTCATCATCTCCATCTGTGTCTCAAATTCATTGAGTTGACTCTGTAGTACTCTTCCACGCTCCAAGTGTTTGTGACAATCCAAACACTCTTTTGGTTGTCTGGCCAACTCCAATTCCTCTGTCAGTGAATCAAACTCCTCTCCCTTTGATTTAAGTTTACTCTCATAGTCACTTAACAACTTTTGAGTATCGTCTCTGTACTCATTGAACATTCTCTCCTTCTCGCCCAACTGATTCTCCAACGTCGATTTATCACTCTCCATCTTGGAAACTAGTTCTTTTCGAACGGAAAGAGTAGACTCCAACTCAAGGATTTGTGATCGCAACGATTCCATTTCAACCATACTGGTTTCACTCGATGATTTGATGGAAAGTAGTTGATTTTGAAGTCTTTCATTCTCTTCCTCTTTAGAACGAAGTTCAAGAGTCAAACTCTTCTCTTTGGCGACAGACTCCTCGTAGGAAGTGGAGCGCTTCGCCAGCTCACCATTGGCAGACTCCAACTCTTGTCTCAAGCTGGCAATAGTTGACTCTAGCAATGAAATCTTGGAAGCTGCTTCATCACCAGAACTGGATCTCGATTGCAGCTCATGTGTCAGTTGATTTATCTTTTCATTGAGTTGCTGAATAATGTCGTCTTTCACTTTAGCCATTTCATCTGATGTCGACTCCAATTGTTTCAATCTCGCGGTTCTCTCTTCATTCAAAGATTTCAACTCTACTAGCTGGTTGTTCAACTCTGTGATATTCTGTTGAAGTGTATCGATTAGGCTTTGTTTCTCTTGAAGCTGGCATTCCAAAGACTGTAAAGATTGCTTATGATCTAACCGTATCTTTTCGATAGCAGATTCATTGCAGAGAACTAATTGATTGTTCTTTTCCTTCCAATCGTCCAGCTCCTTTAGTAGCTCGGTTATCTTTGATTCCAATTCACCCGATTGCTTTCCGCTCACTTCATTCGAACTGTTGATCTGTGAAACGAGTTCTTCGATCTTCGAATCACACTCTTCCTTCTCTCTGTTCAAATTTGCCAATTGAATCTTGTATGCATCACACGACGATTGTAAATCATTTGTCTGTCTCTCCATATCCTTTTGAAGATTCAAGTAATCTTGTTCCATTCTATGATATCTCTCTTCCAATGTTTGATATTTCTATTATTATTATTATTATTATTGAAGTAGTATGATGATTAATAAATATCTAGTTTTTGGTCAAATTACAAACTAATTAATTAAAAACAACATACTCTATCATTATCATGTTGAAAAGACAATTCCTCTTGTAGCAATTGAATCTCTTTTTGTTTATCGGTTTGCAATTGATTGTAACTCTGTTGGAGAGATTGTATTTCATTCTGTAGAGACTCTGTCTGTTGCTGTAGTTCATCAATGAGATTTTGATTGGACAGCGAATCCATTTCCAACTTGGCATTCAACTTTGTATTGATTTGAAGCTTCTCTGTCAACTCTTTGATATCCTCTTGCAACTCTGACATTGATGATATATTTCTACTCAATTGATCATTTAGATCTTTATGTTTATTACTTATATATAATGCAATAAGCTAGCAATAACAACACTATTAATATTAATCTTAAAATGAAAGAATGATTAATAAATAAAAACTTACCAATAAAATAGAACTTCTTGATAGATTCTGAGTTGATATCTCTATTTGTTTGGCTAGCTGACTGTCGTGATATAACTTTTGATCTTCTTCGGTGGCATCGTCGTCCAGACTGAACCGAATAGCTTCATCATCATCTAAGAACTTTGAACTATTATCTTCTTTTCCCTTTAACAAACTAACCAATTGTAATACAATTGAATTACTATTTTCACTGTTAATGTTTGATGATGTTAGTTTACAACCAAAAAAAAAAAACAAATGAAATCAAAATCAAAAAACAACAAAAACATACTTTGTAGTTAGTTTATCAATCGTTTCTCTTGCTTCTTGTAGTAGTTTGACTTCTTCTTCAGCATCGTATGTTCTAGATGTAGCGGTATTCGTAATGATGTTCTCCAATGACACTTCGAAACTTTCTTTAATCATATTGTATTCATCGACAATAGATTTCTTTGTTGCAATCTAAAAGAATGTAATGTAATGTTACCATTAGTTAGTTGGAACATTCAAAATAACTCTTAAATTGTAAAACAAACAAACAAACAAACAAAACACATACATCCTTAGCTAAACTTAATAAAGATTGATTCTTTACAACTAAATACTGATACTTTTCTTTCACTTGATTATAATCTTTGATAAACTCTTCATAGTCATTAACTTTATTCTGTAACTTTTCATTCTTATCAGTCAACGATTCTGTAATTTTTATTATTATGTTTTGATTATTAGTATAACAATAATAAGAGATATTTATATAAATTTGTTTCATTACCATTATCACATCTTAATTTAATAAGATTCTTCTCTCTTGATAGATCTTTTGAGTTTAGTTCTTGTAATTCTCGTTGGAGCAGATCAATATCGACTTGTGCTGATTTTTTCGACTTTTTACCAGATTGTTGTTGATTTTTAAATTTCGACAAATCAAAGTTGGCTTCATTCAACTTGTCTACCATCAATTCATTCACCAAAGTAGCTTCTTTTAAATTGAATGATAGATTTTCATTTTGCTAATATTATATTTTAAAAAATAATTAGTAACTACTTCTCTTTTCTTTTTGTTTTTTAATAAAAAAATTTAAATATATACATTTTTCAAAACCTCATTCTGTGAATATATATCAATATATTTCTTTTCATAATCGAATAGTTGAGATACTTGATATTCTAATTCACTATTCTTTTCGAGTAACAACTTTCCAATTTCCGCAGCCAATTGTACATCTTTTTCACGCTCGTCCAATTGTTTTGAAACCTGCTCCAATGTATTAATTAAACTATAAGGTGTACTCGGTGATCCAGGAGAATCAACTGCCATCGTATTCGATCTTTGTCTACCTCTACCCATATTAGGTGTACCAATCCATCCTAAAATATTTTAATATTCATCCAAAAAAAGTTAGTTTTACAAATTTCCATTCTTAATAAAGATTGTAAATTTACCTAATTGTTGCATTTTCTCTTTGAATTGAGAAACAACTTCAATGGGAGGTGTTTTACTATTACTATTAATACTTGAGTTATTCACTCTCGAGTAGGACATTGGTGACATAGGTGGTGAGAAATTCAAATGAGAATTCCTTGATATACTGAATGGTGACATATTTGAGTCTCCATTCAAATGATTGTTATTATTATTATTATTGTTGTTGTTATTATTTGCATTACTGTTTCCTTTGAAATTAGGAGAAAATTCTGATGTCGGTGACCCAACTGATGATGTTATTGATTGTTTCATCTGACTTTTAATTTGATTGGAAATCATTCTCTTTGCGATATTATCACTATTACTGATACTATTAAAATTATTATTATAAGAAACTATATTTAAATAAAATAAACTACTATTATAATTGCAATGAAAATAAATGTATGGATAGGGAATGAAAAGTTAGGGTATGTATATCAATTTTGGAACTTTTATTTCTCTCTCTTTTCAACATACAAAAAAAAAAAATAGAAATAGAAATGAAAAATTGTGGTAAAAGGTATAATATTGGTATTATTTATTATATGTGTTTGAAAAAAAAAAAAAGAAATAATTTGATTTATGATTATATTTTAATTTTTGTTTTTTTTGGAAAATTAATATTTAAAATCTTCACTCTCACTCACATTGACCTTATAAATTTAACTGTAAACAAACAAAACAAAAACAATATTTCGACAACTTTTGAAAAAAATGGTTGTTTATTTATATTGAACTAATAATGATTTTGTGTTACATAGTTGAATCACCAATAATATTTACAACAACACATCAATATACTATAATTAATATTGACACACATCAAAACATTTACCAAAACATTATACATATATATATTTTAATGGTGTAATGTGTGTGTGTGTGTGTGTGTGAGTTTATATGTGTGTTTTTTTTGTGGTTGACTATTTTCATTTATTTTAATTTATTTACACACTTTGACCATTTTGTGTAAAATAAAAATTTTAATCATACGATGTTTTATTCATCATTTTATAAGAACCTGTGGGTTGTCTTAAAACATCATCTAAAATTAGAGCTCTCAATGGAGATTATAATAAATAAGAAAGATAAATGTGATGTGTGTTTGTTTTTTATTTTATTTTAAACAGAGTGGGTATTGTTCAACATATTATCAAGAAAGAAATTAATAAATAAAACTATCTAATCTATCTTATAAAACTAACTGTTTATCTTCTTTTCTTTGTTACTGGAGATGGGGAACTTGGTGTAGATCTTGATAAAAACCTTCGAATTTTACCTTTTTTCTTTTTTCCATTATTATTATTATTATTGTTATTGTTATTATTATTATTATTATTATTATTGTCATCTTGATTTAAAACTACAGGGTTACCATTACTACTACTACTATTATTTCCATTACTGATATTATTACTATTGTTACTACCATTATTATTTTGTGTTGGTACATTTATAGGAAAATTAGTATCACTATTATCACTATTGTTGTTACTTTTGTTATTGGTTATGTCAGTATTTGGAGGTTTTGATAAGTCAGTAGCTGACAGTGTTAGTGGTGATAGAGCATCAGGCGTGAAAATGTCTCTGTTTGCAAAGTTTAAAAGACCAAACTGGTTACCATAGATCTCATAGAATTGAAGTATATCTTTGTTTCTTTCCAATTGTGTTTCTTGTTCTTCAATGAATTTCATCATCTAAATTAGATGTAGTATTGATTTGATTAATAATCAACAGTGACAATAAGATAAGTCTAATATATTAATATAATATACATACAGTTAATAAAACTTTTCTTTTTCTGAATAAAAGATAGAATTTCGGTACAAATAATACGCATAGTGTACAGACAACGAATACGATCGAGATAATCGAGAGAATTAAAAAGTGTGCAGTCGAACTGAAAGGAAAGGAAAATCTAAGTGGAATCAAAATGAGTAATAACAATATATAATTATAGATCTACACGCACACACAAAATAAATGTATTAGTATTAGTATTGATAGGCAGGCAGAGTTAGGTTTGAAAAGTTAAAAGAAAAATAACATTACTAATATTCCAATATAAGTTGGTTCGTTAAATGTTCCTGGTGATGATCGATATGGTCTACCAAGATATACTAAAACACTACAATATACCAATAATAATGTCTATTATATAAGAGTAATAATGTAATGTTGATGATAAGTATTTAAAATATTAATTACTAAAAGAGATTATAGTATAGTTACGAGATAAACTAAATGTGAAACAGTGTAAATCCAATCTAAACTTGCGATACATGCATGTTCTATTTGTTTCTTATAGACTGTATCGAAAACATACTGTGGTGTTGCTCTTGAAAGTGCTGTATTCAATATCAATGCAATCTAAAGATAGTGATACCAAACAACAAAAGATAAAAATCAATATCCTATTATTAATTTGATTGAATTTAATTAGATACATACCACTGGTATTATAAATAATATAGCCAAACGTTTAAAAAAATAACTTGTTTCCATCTATTTATAATGGATAATAATAGTCGATTGGTTGGTTGGTTGTTAGTTAGTTAGTTAGTTAGTTAGATAGTCTATATATATTTAAATATGAATACAAACCATTCTTTTAGTTTGAAAGTTAAGTTCTTTTCTTTTCTCCCAAATACTCCATTGTTTAACGATAATGGAGAGTGCACAAAGGAAGAAACCAACCGGGATGATAATCGGTCGGATTATACAGGCAATACTGGACACTACCATGTTGGGAATAATCGAAACGAGCAACACCATACATCCAAGTAGATTGGTCATCAGGAAGTAAGGGTTGGAATAGTTGATGAGTCGATTATGTCGGTGAACGAAAACCAAAATGAAACAAAACACCGTCGCTAAAAATACAACTGCTGCAATCGCTACTATTGTGATTTTAGTTATCGATGACAGTCCCGCTTTCTTCAGACAGTAGTATTGGTAATCGCCTGGCGTCTGAAACTCTATCTGGCCTTTCGCACAATGCTTCACGTAGATATCAAACGTGAGATCGCCGGTGACCGCCGCTGGCGACGAGGTGAAAACCAAGGTGCAACTGGTACCGGGTTTCGCTGAGACTAGGAGATTGTACATGATTGGAGTACCATTGAGATTGATGGTGACTTGATTCACTCCGGTGATGTTGATATTGGTGCAATTGGGGTAGGTCATCTCAAAGATGACGTCGGTGTGGCCACGGTAAATATTCCCAAAGGCATCGAGTGCAGTAATGACTACCTGAGTGGTGGTTGGCGTGGAGAGAATCGCTGCAGTTGAAATCGTAAAGTTGTAATATTCACTGTTAACGAGATCTCCATATGCAGCTGTGTTATTGCTTTGCATACAATTGTAACAGGTGAAATCACATTGAAGCGCTGTCGTACTGTAGTAAACGAGTGCACCAGAAGTCAATGCATAGTTATTGAAAAATGTGTTATTCAAAAAAGTGTTGGGCAAACACTGCATTTCATCAACATTCGGCGCTTTCAAATACATGAATGGTCCATTTGGCGAAACATTATTATCTATCCTACTATTGATGACTGTAATATTTCCAGAGATATCCAACTCCGATACTGCTCCTCCCTAAAATAATGAAAAATGTTTAGTGATATATTAGTTATTATTATTAGTTGTTATTATAGCGGTGTGGGATTGGATTAATGAATCAACATACATAGAAACCAACAGTACCATAGAATATGCAACCGTTGAGAAATGCTTGATATCCGTTGTAACAAGAGACTATACTGGTTAATACTTGATTGTTGTAGAAATAACCTCGGACTATAACCAGATACGATTGAAAGTTGGTTTGGATGAACGAAGCAACAGTAGATGAGAACACTCGTAGATCGTAGAAGAAAGCAGTCACATGATTGGAAACAAGATTCAGCTGATCGAATGACCCGCAATGATCATAGACAATCGATGCAAACACTACATGTCCTGCACCATATGATTCAAATATTCTACCTTGAATAACTATAGTTATAGAAGTTACAAAAAGGATTAAACTCTACCCTTTCATATCATATCATATGTTATAATAAACAAACTTACAAGAGAAAACAGTATTCAATACAAGTATAATGGAATTGGAATCGGTTGACAACAAGATGCCATAGATATCATTGAATGCACAGCCATAGACATACAATTGGCCATTAGAGTAAATCGATATAAACACTGATACACGTGAGGATGAGTTGAACCAACAATTATCAAACAATAACAACGGTGCTGCACTTCCTGCTATCGATCCACCAGGCGAGTAATTATCATCAAATATATTTAATATAAATCTAAAATATAATAATAATAATAATAATAGAGTCAATAATGATACTTGTATAACAACCGTTTCAACCTATATATATTTACTCTCCAACTGATTGATCATCTAAATATACAATTCCTGAAGCTGCAGACGCGTCACACTTTATAAAACGTGTATTTGCACATCTTATTCTTGAACCGAGACCTACAAACTGTCCTATTACTGATCTATTTTCTTTGAATATACATGTTCTGATTTCTAGTGGTGAATTCGCTAGATTTAGAAAATGATATGATTACAAAAGCAAATTTAGTAAAATTCTTTTTCTTTTTTTCGCTTGTTGGAGAATATTAAATGCTTACTTAAAATGATTCCATAAACTGATATGTTATATATAAAAGTCGATCGATTAAAAAGAATATCTGAACGATCTCCAGTAATCATCGTAGTAAATTGATTACTTATTAACCTTGTATTGTTGAAAATTACATGTGATTGAGATACATCCAAAAAAGTTTGATAGTTATTCAATTGTATATTACAATTATTAATTATTATTGTACCTAATTTATTTATGTTAATATTAAAAAAAGAGAGATTTAATTTTAAAATAATAAACTTACTATCATTTGAAAATATCAAATTATTATTTGTATTATTAAAAATTACTACATTATTAAATGATATGATGGAGTTAAATAAAGTAAAATCTGCACCTGTTAAAAAAAATGATTGATCTAGATTTCGATTTTTAAATTGGTGACTCGAACCTGGATTGGTTCTAACTTTTACATCTGGTGTAGAAACATTTCTTTTTGTAGAATTCTCCCTGGCTGTTGCATGTATAAATTGAATATCATTGATCTTGACTTGTGAATTTGTTAATTTCATCGTATTTCCTGATTCTGCCAATTTAATAAAGGTTACACCACCTCCATATCCTCCGTGGATAGTAACATTGGTTTTTGTGAAAGTAGCTAAATTGCATTCACTATAATTATAATGACCGGGTCGTAAAAATATATCTAAATTACTGTATTGACTATATTGTTTAGCAGCATATTGCAGTGAATAACAAGGTGAATCAGATTGTCGACAATCTCTATCATCTTTTCCATCCACTGCTAAATATATATTGACTCCATCTTGTAAAAATTATCAAATTAATAATGAACCATTTAAATGATAAAATATTTATAATTAAAATCACCTACATATTGGGTAATAACTAAATATTTTTATAAATAACAATAAAATAAATATATAAAATAACTTCATTCTTTTATTGTAAAAATAGATAAATATTATTGGGAAATATTATTACCCATATTCTAATTAGATCTTTTTTGATAAAACTTCTTGAAAATGATCATTATTTATTAATTTAATGTATTAATAATAGAATAGTAAAAAAAATTTCTGATCAAATGATTGTGTATGCGTTCTGATCACACCACACCCACAGTCCAAATGATTGCATGACAATAATCTTACCATAAAACACAAAATTTTAGCTGTTATAAATAAACTAATCTAATTTGGTTTTTTTTTTTTTGTTATTTAAACTGTACCCACATAAGTTTAAATCATCTTATTATACTTAATTAATTTACTGTTTCAAATTTACCCGCCCCTATTTATATTTACTATAAAATTAGATTTTAAAAACATATTTTTTTGAGGTACTCAGTAAAAAGACCTGTTAAATCCTTCCAGAGAGAACAAAGAAATAAAAATTCCGATTCTCTCTATCTACTGTAAATTTAATTTTTTGTTACATGTAATTTGAAAAGCAATAAAACAATTATACTTATTATTTTTTTGATTCTTAGATGGAATTTTTAGTCAATATGTCTTTTATAAAAGTTCAAATCATAAATTACAAGCATAATTACAATAATAGTCTCAATTAATTTAAACATATTTTTATTTTGTCACAATAATATTTTTGTGTGGAAATTGTAAATACACTTTAGTATAAAAAGGTTCCACAATTATTTGATTAAACGAATTTCTTTCATTTTCAAACTGATTTTCCTCCATCTCAGAGTCTGATAAGGGGTCCTCTTCAGCAGGAACCCAACCAAGACCTCGGAGGAATCGTTCTTCGTGTTCTTCGTCTTCCTCCTCATCGTTGCTGCTGCTGACACTTCCGCTGTTGCTAATGTCTATGCCAATGGGAGGAGGTACGTGTTTAGTGTCGAGTGTGCTGGCCGAGCAGTGATCACCACCATTGAATTCATGGGTGACACTGTGATTTGCTGGAGAACTTGAGGCAGTGACGGTCGGTGAGATGGCGAGTCCTTCTGGAGTGGTGTCTTTACTGGAAGCAATCACTGAGGAGGTGATGTTAATAACAGCAGGAGAGGTGTATGGCGATGTTGAAGCGGAACTCGAGGTTGGAGAAGGTATCTCAGATTGCTTGCCGACCACGACCACTTGATTGCTATTGGAATCGGTTATGCTGCTGATGAGTTTTACCTCTGCCTCTGACATAATCTTTTCTTGTTGCTTCTCGATTTCCTCGCGCGATAGACCTTCCTCTTGCATCTTCTTGGCCATGTCTTCGGTTTTCTGAATTTTCTCGTAGAAAATATTCTTGGCCATGAGCTTTTCAATTTTTGGTGTCTTTGGTTTACGTGATGGATCTGTCAGTTGCTTTCGAGAGACAGAAATGACTTCATCCTTGTTGCCGCTACCGGATCCAGGAACTGGACTCTGCAGATTGGGCTCGGAGTAGGCACGGATAAATTTAGGATTGGCAATACCACTACGAATAGCTGGCTTTGTAAGAGTTCCTCCTTGTTGTTGTTGCTTTTTGAGTGCAGGATTGGTGATGCTACCGGACTGAGAGAGTGAGGTGATTGTTTTGATCGATTTGCCAGTTACGGCTGTATTGGCCGAACTCAAGATGGGAACTACTACTTTGGCCTTCTCTTTTTCTTTTTCTTTTTCTTTGTGAAGTGTTTCTTCGGAGGAGGAATTGAGCGGTGATAACGATGGTTGGATGGGAGTGATGAGGGCAGCCAAAGTTGGTATACCCGATGATGATACACTCGATGGTGGTTGTAGTGGTGTAACGCTAGGTGACAGTGAGGCTCCAGCAGCTGCTGATGGGGAAAAACTTTGTTGTTGTTGTGATTGCTGCTGTTGTTGCTGATGATGGTGATGATGGCTGCTTTGCTGCTGAATAGAATTGGTAGGGGAAATAGATCGTGTAGTTAAACTAACAAATGTTGTTTTAGGTGATTTTGGTTGGATCAATGGTGGGAATTGTTCACTCTCTCTTGGTGGATGTAACATCTGCTGTTGCTGTTGTTGTATTTGTTGAGACAGTGATTGGTTATGATTATCGTTGACCAAGAGATTGTTGTCATCACTGCCATTGTTGTTGTTATAATCATTGTTGTTGTTATTATTATTATTATTATTATTATTATTATTATTATTATTATGGTGATGATAATTTGAGGATGAAGATGAATGGTGATGATGATAATTATTATTGAATTGTCCATGGACAAGATAATGATTAGATGTATCCTGACTGGATTGATGCTCGTTCATTTGAAGGTGATTTGGTGAAATAGAATGATAACGCGGTTGTTGGAAGTGTTGTTGTGGTTGTGAGTGTTGTTGCTTAAGATTAGTCGATGATGCTTGATCAACATTGTTGAGATTCGGTTGTGATTTATAACTCACTAAAGGTGGTTTTGACTTGTATTTGGTGAAGGAGGAGTTACTGTTTAAAATAAAATTATTGTTGTTATTGATACTATTGATGTTGATACTGTTTGCAGTGTTAATAGATCGGAATGTAACATTCGATTGCAATACTGGTGAAGATGTAACTCCTCTATCGTGATTTACATGTGATGTTGTTGATGTTGTTTGATGTGTTACTGATGATGATGATGATGTTGTTGTTGTTATTGATGATACTTTACTACTATTACTACTGTTGTTGATGCTATTATTTATCGATAAAGTTGATGTTGATGAGGTTGTTGAAGAAAAATGTTGATGTGGTGGAGATGAAGATTGTACAACATTGGTTGGTGGTTGTTGTTGTTGTTGTTGTTGTCGTAGTAATAGTTGGGCAGCCTCTTGAACATTTAGTTCAATATGTGGAGATGACTTTGATCGATTTAATTTTGGTATATTGACAACTGGTGTTGTTTGTTCGCCAGTTCCATTTGGTGGTGATACATTAAGAGCGGTGCGTGGTGAGATATCTATTATTTGGTTAATAATCGATTAATTAATCCATGTTACAATATTGTAATTAAATGAAAAGCAAAAGCAATAGTTGATATCGACTTACCTTGATGAGATAACTCCTTTGAACGTAGCCAATCGGGTACAAAAGAGGATTTCATATGATGATCTCCCATTCAGATGGAATGGATTTCGATATCAAACCAAATGAATTCCCAAACAAAAAAATATATATTTACTTTAATTGTTTTGTTTTGTTCTGTTTTTTTTTTTATTCTTTTATTGATATTATTCTTTTTTTTTTTTGTCTAATAATAACTATATTATTATGATTATGCTTATTATGATTATCTGTATTTGTTCTTTGTTATTATTGTTATTTGCTTTCTATCTAACTATTGAGTTTAATTATAATATTTATTTTTTTGTTTGTTTATTGATTTGATTGTTGTTGTTTGTTGCTTTTTGGCAAGTGAAGAAGTAGAAGAATAGGATATAATGTCTAACCTTCTTTGTTTTTGTTTTTTGTTTTTTTAAGATATAAAAAATAAACCGATATAGATATATATTTATATAAATATTAAAAATACAACAAAATAAACTTTAAAAATGATAATAAATAATAATAATAATATTAATAATATTAATGTGTGAAAATGATTAAAAATAATTGAATCGTGAATGAAAGAAGAAAGGAATCAGATAATGAGACTCCTAAACCCAAGAGGAAATTAGATGATGAAAATGCTAAAAAAAAAATGATAAAATGATATAACTAAACTATTGCTGCTTTTTGATTGCCTCAATTTTAAAATAGAATTCTAAATAAATCTATAAAGTGAATGAATGATAAAAAATTATTATTGATTATTGTTGTTTGTTGTTGTTGTTGTTGGTATTTTTGCTGTTTTTTTTAACGGTAATTAAAAATGATTAAACTGTGAAACTATTTCTTTTTTGTATTTGTTTGTTTTTTTTTAATGTTATGTTTTAGAGAGAGGGGAAGAGAGGGAGAGATGTTGATATAGATTGTTTTGATATGTTGTTATTTGATTGAATTTCTTCTGTATAGGTATAATTTATTTTTGATAAAAAAAAATTCTTTGTTTTACGCAATGATTATGATGTTATAATTAAATTGAAAAAATGACAGACTGTCTAAATGAAGAAGTAGAGGAAGATGATTGTTGTTGTTGTTTGATTTTTATTCGTTTATATACAAGTAAGTTTAGATATTTTAGTTGTTATTGGCTTGAAAGGAGAGGAAAAGATAAGAAACAAACTAAATAATGCTATTTTGTTATTTTTTGGGTTTTTATGAAAAAAATTAAAAACAAAAAAAAAAAAAAAAAAAAACAATGCTAAGTTGAAAAAAATGTGCGGATAAATGGATTAGCCTGACCCAAAAAGGTCGCTATTTATTACTGTGAATTTCTCTCAAGCAATAAAATGAACTTTAAATATGTTTTGTCTCTTTGTTTTTAATAAAAAATTGTTTTTATATATATATAATTATAAGATAATAAAAATAGATAGGTTTGGTTTGGTTTGTGCTATATTATATGTTATTTTGTGTACTGTACTACTATATTATAAATACTACTATTACTATTACTATATAGTATACTACTATGATATTATTACTCCTATCATTAAATAACTTTTGAAAGTAGCTGAAAAATTAAAATAAACTAAGCAATTTGATATTTTTTTAAAAAATATTATGATTTGATTTGATTTGATTTAACTATTGGATTTTAAATAAAATATTCATATATATTATTTATTTATTTATAATGTTTATGCCTTATAATAATAAAATATACAAATATATATATTTATGATAAATCTATAGATTATGTGTTTTATGTTTTTTTTAAAAAAAAAAAAAAATTTGTATGGGGTGTAAAAAAAAATTGGAATTAAAAAAAAAAAAAAACCAAAAAGTAATCACATTTTTGATATTTACATTATGATAATGTTCAACATAAAATATCTTTGTCTTAAAGAATCCAAGATAAAAACATCAAATTTTACAATTTGTTTTAAACAAAAAAAAAAAAAAAGTGTAATACCAAAAATAGTTCTTAAGTTGGTCGCAAAATTTGTTTTTACAAATCGAAATACTTCGATTGATTATTGTTGTGGTTATATTACTATTAATTGGTTTGATAAATCTTAGAATTTTTTATCCGAAATGAATTATCCAATTCGATTATCATTAAAAATAATTCTTTTTTTTTTTTGGTTTGATTTTCATTATTGTGGCCTTTTAAAATAAGACAACAAATATTTGTTGAAAACATTTGAAGTTACATTACACATCATTTATACATTATTTTGGTCAATAAAATACTTAATTTCAATGATGAACGATATCGATAATTGTATTTTGTTTATTATTGTTATTTCCAACATCACATTTATATACATTGCGTTGGGTTGGTTAGTTCTATTTTTTTAAATTATATTTTATTTTAGTGAAGTGAATGGCTGCTTTTTGTGTGTTGTTGTGTGTTGTGATTTGGGTTGGAAGACTGATCAGATTTATTTGCTACTATCTTCTATGTCTATTTTTCTTGGTATTTGAGTCACTTAGTGAGAATTTAAATTCCTCCTCTGGACATTTGTATTTGTTGATTGCGTTTATAAATGAATTTGGCTTGGGCTTGTTTGGGTTGAATGGCTCGTTCTTTAGTCGCTCGGCCTCTTCAGCGTCTTGCTGTTCCTTTTCGATTCGCTTTCGCTCGCGTTCCTCCTCCTGTGTCTTTTCGTACTGTTCTTTGATCTCTTTGGATCGCTTGATATCGTGCTCTCTCTCCAATTCCTTTTTCTTCTCCTTTCTGGTTTCCTGTCGCTTCTTTGAGTTTCTTGCATCGCGTCGCTTCTTTAGCTCCGATGCAAACTCGTCGAGTACCGCTTTGCTCACGACATTGGCAAGGTCGATCTCTATGAACCAAACCGAGGTGGTCAGTGCCAGCAGATTCAGCGATTTATAGATATGTCTCGATTTCTTGGTGATTTCATATGGCTCAATCTCCAAAACCTTTGACTTGAGAATCGCCGGTAGCACAGAGGTGGGTGTAGCAGCGGCACCCTTGAGTGATGCTTCTCTCCAAAGCATATTCATATTCAGTGGGTGAATGAAAATCGGTTGTCCATCGACACACTGATAAAGATAATAAACTCCATTGACTGATTGATTTACATATGACGATTCCACTGAATTTGTTGTTCCAGTTGTTTGTCCATTGATATTATTATTATTATTATTATTTGTATTGTTATTGTTGTTTGTTGAGGTTGAAGTAGTAGTAGTAGTGGTTGATTCATTAACATCATCATCATCATCATCACCATCATCATCTTGATTTGCCAATTCCGTATCATTGTAATCGGCGTCATCATCTTCAGATGTATCTTCCCACTTAATGCTATTTAAAACAGTTGAATAGTATTCCTGGAGATCCGATTTAACGTTGCTGTTGTTACTGAATTGATAGGTCTTGAAATCGAGGTCTGGATTTCTTCTGGGAATCGATGAGATCACAATCTGACCGTCGCTTTCAATGCGCTTCTGTTCGACCAGTTTCCTAAAGAGAGATTCTCGCTCGTCAATATCTTTCTCTGCGTTGGCGAGGAAACGCACCGTTTCAAACTCACCCTCGCTCATGGCGATCTCCTTGGCGGTGGCGATCTCCACTCGCTCCTTTGCAAGAATGTCGTCAATCTCGTAGATAATAGAGAATCGCGAGTAGAATGCATTGGCTTCATCTTCGCGTGGGAATGAAATCAGCTCTGGAATGGTTTGGTTGGCGAGGTACGGCACCGTCGATTCCTCGCGATACTTCAACAGCTGGAATTCAATGGTGTCGCCATCGTTGTACTTTGCCGACTTGAGAATGGTTACACTCTTCAACTCTGACTTTTCAATCGGTTTCAAACAGAGTGGACACTTGTTAGAGTGTGACAAACTTCTCAGAATACAAGCATGGCATGTAATATGTCCACATTTCGTTACTTTCCTATAATGTTTTACCAATCAAAATTTTGATTCCAATTAGCAATCAATCATCATCTTGATCATCACATTTCAAAAACATCCAAGTAATAATAAATTAAACAACATACGGAGCAATAGGAGATTCAAAACAAATAGGACAAAGAAACTCTGATGATCTCGATAGATAAGTAACCATTTCAATCTTATTCCACGCTACAATATATTCTGGATTTGACAAACTCGATTTATAATTTCCATATGGATTGACTTTGAACAAGTAACTTTAGAGGAAGAAGTTGTAAGTAAATAGGTTATTTGTTTTGTTTGTTCCACCCATCTATATAGCTACTACATACTTTGCTTGTAAGAATGAATTTGGATTGGTTGGTCTGTTGGATGTTGATGACCTCTTTCTAGTATGATTATTGTTGTTTCTCGATGAAGAGGATGTAGATGAACTGCTATTATGATAGTTGTGATGGTGATGATGGTTGTTACTATTGGTGCCAGTGTTTCCTCTGTAGTCTCTGTTCGAGTGTGGTCTATCATGCTTGAAATGAACGAGATGAGTCATATCGATATGATTCTTTTTCTTATTTTTACCACCAGTTACTTTGTTTTGAACAGTGTTGTCTATAGAAGCTGTCAAGCTCGTCAATGATTTATCATTATTATTTGATTGTTGTTGCTGCTATTATCCATTATTATTATATATTAATAATCAGAACATTGTTTCATTCTTTATTCTTTTTTATTGATATGATATGATATTCATAATATATATAATTCATTCATCAATTAATTGAAAGTAGTAACTTACTTGCTCAAATTCAACCTTACTCATTGCAATGGCAAGTTCAATCTCTGAATTATATTGAATATCATTCGGTAAAGTATATAGATGCTGTTGTTGTTGTTGTTTCTGTTGTTTATTATTATTACTATTATAGTTTTTATTTTTTCTTTTTTATGTTTATTATTATTATTATTGTTATTATGGTGATTGTTATTTTTCTTTTGTCTATCAACTAATGATTGTGAAGAGGAAGGAGATGAAGATAACATTGTAGATTTGATATCACTGTTGTTGATAATATTACTATTCATATTATTATTATTATTATTGGTTACAATAAGAGGTGATACATTATTGTTGTTAATCAGTGAATCTTTATTCATTTATTATTATTGTTATTGCTATTAATATGAAAAAGAAATAATTAATATATAATTTCTTAAATTTCTTGACAAGTTGGGTTGGTTTAAAGTTATCATTGATAGAACACCCCCTTATTTTTAATTTATAAAAAACAGGAAAATCCTTTGAAAAAATAAAAATTGGTCCAATTAAAATTAAACCCATTTTTGTATTTTTTTTTAATTTAAAATTGTGTTGTTGCAACCATTTTGTTGGTGTTCTGATTCTTTTGTTTATTCGATTCAATCAGATATGATATTTAGTTAGGAGTTTGGTATTTGCTTTGAGAAATCAAAGTTCAATTGAATCGAGGGTTTTGCTGGAAGTTTAATCTCTTTCTTGGCTGGCTGTTCAAAGTTTTGTCGAATCGATTGCTCAAGTGTTTGCTTTTGATCTATTGGAAGTGCTGCCACTGCTTCTTTAAAGTTTGGTTGAGTAGAAGCGTAGTTCAACAAAATCTGTAATGTAGATTGATGTATATTGCTGGTAGGTTGTTGATGTGGATCCAAAAAGAATATCATTATTTGTACAATCATTTGTAATAATTTACATTCTAAATATATAATAATGAATGATATTAATAATCATTAGTAACATATTATTATTAATTTCTTGGATTATAAAATGTACTTACTTTGATCATCATTCTTTAATAATGTTAAAGATAATGTAAATAGTTTAAATATTTCAATGGTGGTTGTATCTTGTTCTGATGATGATGATGATGAGGAAGTTGTTGGTGCCATGACTAGTGATGATTGTAAATCAATGAATAGTTCACCTATTAACTTTGATGAGAATCGGTGTGTCGGTGAATCCGGGGGATTAGATGCACCAGTATTAAGAATATTTCTAAGAACTTGAAGTGAATACTGCTTCTCTTTGATAGCCTTATTCTGCAGTGACGATCTAAAGAATGAAACAATCGATTTGGTTATTTCATCATTCATCTGCTCTTGTTGATTGATAATCAGCGTAGATAGCAATAATAGTAATCCTTGTTTTGTTTCATTTCTTTTAAAAAAAAAAATCAAACGATAAACGTTAGTTTTAGTTATATACTTAATGATAATAATCAACTTACTTGTTTAATTTATCAAGAGTGGTAGTCAATGATGCATTTAGTATCGATGTGTATTGAGTTAGGTCAGGTGTTACTTTTGATGTGAACAAACGTAGCAATGAAATGGTAAATTGAATGGCAGAAGTAATTAGATTGGTATTTGTGGTATTGGCAAGTGTTTGTGTGACGGTCCATAAGAACAATGGTGTGTACTCTTGAATCTGTGCGATATCCATCAATTTAATAATAGAAATACAACAGCTATAGAATTTAATTTGATACTCTTCATTCTCTGGTTTCATAGGATCTATATTATAGTAAAGCAGAGTTAATAAGTAGGTAACAACTAATTATATCGCTTATTTATCTATCCTCTAACCAATGATTTAATATTTACCAAATAAAACTTTTAATAATAGATTGAATATCTCGACTCTAATTTGTGTGATAACAAGAGAAGTAAAGATTTGTTTGTTAGTTGTCAATTTGTCATCTTCTAGAGTAGGTTGATTTGTTAGATACTAACTCTTTGATAATTGAATCACCAAAACATTGGAATAGATTATTGATGATTTCAATGAGTTGTGTTTGTATCTTGTTAGAGTTGGCAAAGGAGCTGACTCTTTGGAGGATCTGACATATCTCGTTGATTCGATCCAATTGGAATTCGTTGATGTCTGCCGATGAAGGTTGTAATGTAAGTGCAACTATCTCGAGTGTAAGAGCAATGTGGTTGGCATTCAAGGTCTTTTCTGTAGGATCCAAAAGGAACTTTTCCTGTGGCAAAAGCGACAGTCCCATTATTAAATTAATATCCTCCATCGGTTTTGTTTCAATGAGTATTGGATCGTTGTTGTTATTATCATTGGTAGTAGTTTTATTAATATCGGTGGATTCAGTTGTAGTCGACTCTTGTTGTTGTTGTTGCTGTTCTACTACATTTCTACCTTCTAACCAATAGGGTGTTGCAATGAGTGATGCCAATGCTTTAACAACGAATGGATACGCTTCTTTAAAGTAGTCGACAGATTCATTGAAACTGAGTGGTGAGAAGAACATTGGATTACAAACGTGATAGATAGAGGGTGGTTGTGATACCAACAATGAATATTCCTTCAAGAATGTCACCCAATGAACTCTAAGATAAGGTAATATACTAAAATAACAAATAACAAAAACATGTTGGTTAATGTTAATTTATCTATATAGATATTTAAAATTACTTACGGTGTAATAACAGGTGATAGAATAGTGTTTAATGATTCTTTCTTTCTGCATAATAGATAGAGTTGAGCAAATGTCTTTAGAATAGAGAGTTGTACAAGTGTAGTTGCCTTTTCATTGTATACAGGGAAGTTAAGATCTAATTATAATATATAGATATGGTAGTAGATGATCATTAGTTAGAATTATACAATATTAACAATAGGATAATATTATTATAATAACATACTTCTTAGGTTTTTAACAGGTGCTGATAGTTGTGTGGTAGTCTTTTTGAGTGCAGAACTATCGTAGTGGAGTGAACCTTCAACAAAGTTTACAAATACAGTGCAACCGACTGAAAGTAGGTTGGGTAGTGCATCGGACGAGAATGCCGGACGTAGTGCAGACATGATCTGTGCTTGATAGAGTTCCAGTAGAAGATGTCCTTCGTAGTCGGGATCGATCGAGGTTGAGAAACTCTCGAGTATGTCTTTCAGCAATAGTATACCGACTGGACGCATTGTGTCGATCTGTGAGGTTGCCGCTTTGAATGCAATTCCAACGAGATCATGAAGGTGGAGAATCAAACAGTTGTTGGTCGATCTGTGCTGTGCAAGATTGCTCTGATTGTTGTTGTGTGCCATTGCAAGCAGCATGTTAAAGTGCTCCGGTTTGTTCTTCACCACAGAGATAACACGTCGGACACACTCGATCGCAAACACTTTGGTGAACCAACGATAAACGTATTCGATCTTATCGGATGAACCTTGTTGAACGACTACTTTAACATCTTCATCGTCGTCTTTATCTTCGTCGTTGTTATTTATATTGCTGGATGCATTCGGCGAGCTGTTTGTCGCGGTGTTGGAAGTGGAGTTGTTGGAGGACGCCAGTGCTATTTCGCCAATGGTTGAATCTTTGGTCATTTGTTTCGATGACAATATAATATTCATACAGAGAAGTAGCCAGATGGATGGATTGTTTGGTGCCATGTTATCGATGATCGTGTTGATCAGTAGTTTGATTTCCTTTTGAAGGTTTTGGTCACTCTCGGTATCGATCATCATGAAGAGATCCTCGACTACGTTCATTCCGACTTCAAACGATTTCTTATTGATCAACTGACGTAGACAAGTGACAGCCGTTATTCTTAGCATTGGGAATGGACTTTTGAATTGGCTGATCAACACCTGGGTCATTGACTCGTTGACGGTGGCTGGCGCGAACATAATAAGTTTCTGCAGGTAGTAGATCGACTCGACACGAACCACCGGTATCTCGTGACGTTTGATAATGGCGCATGTCGCCGTACACTTGGAGAGAACATCGCGATTCGTTTCCAGTTCAGGTCCGAGCGCTATCACAATCGAGTTGACAACACGACCCAGTAGTTGGTAGGGTGGATTCTCACCTAGCAATATGGTTTGTAGCAACATCAGTGTCGGTGATGCAAATGAGTTGAATGAGAATCCAGATGACTGAATTGTGATGTACAGAGCGTGTAGTGCATGAGCGCACACCTCTGGAGCGAGTTGGTCTTGTGCCAGTACATGGAGATTGGCAATGGTCGTTGGCAAATGCTTCTGGGACATCATGCCACCGACCGATCGTTGTATACATCCAAAAACCAGCGCAGAACCTGCACGAACCATGCTCGATACTTCCCGAGATGGTTTTCTTATGAATTCGGTGAGCGATTTGATGATGGCGGTGGTGGCGTTGTCGCCTTCCAACCGACACAAAACACCTAGACACTCGGCGGATGCACGTCTCAAAAGTGGATTGGCATCGCCGAAATAACGTTGTACGAATCGTTGAATATTCGATGCAACGTCACTCTTTCCAAATGCCATGTTGGAGGTGACCATACTCTTGAGAATGTACAGCAGAGTCGTCATTGAGTTGACAGTCATTACATGTTTTTGTTGTGGATTGCTACACTCCTTAATGCAATTGGAGAAGTGATCCAAGAGTTGTGTACGATGACGGTCAGGCTGTGAGATAAACAGTGTGGAGAACAATTCAATCGATGCATTTACCACTCTAACCTCTAGGTTCTGTGTCAAATTGGCAAGATAGCAGTCCGATACATGTGGAAGTGAGACAAGTGAACTGTCTTGACTCGAGAGAGGCACAAGGAATTGACTTTCAAATTGCTGGCTGGTACAGTTGAAGTCTGGCAACAGCGTGTCTTGGTCATCCTTGGAGTAGAGTGTTGGCAGCAGTGTATTATGACTGCCATCCAGTATGAGTGATGTTACAACAGTCATTAGCATTGTGTGTTGAGTGGCATAGCTCGATGCCGGCAACGCTTGGAATGCGCGAATCAAGTTCAACTCCAACATCTGTGTGATTTCATTGGTTGATATCTGGAATGATGTGGAGATAGCCGGTAGTTCACTCACTGTCTTTAGCGTATTCGAAAGGAATGTCACGATTGATGCTACCATCTTGCTGTTCATCAACTTTGGACAGTTGACGATGAGCGAGTGCAGCGGTAGCAGCGCGTCAGCACGCGTCTTGGCAAATATGACAATGTCACGCTCGGCAGTTGGATGCACCGTTGTAATGTTGAAACATTGCTTCCAGCTGGTGAATAGAGCCGGTAGAATCTCAGAGACAAACGATTCACCCATGCATCGGAGTAGTGAGTTCATCATCGACCAGCCAGCTTCCAGCTTGGCCAGCGTAATGGCCGGGTTGAGAAAGTCAGGGTTGGCTAGCAGTGATAAGCTAGTTTTCGTAATCTGTTGGATCAGCGTTGTCGGCACACCAAGTTCAGAGCTCTTCAAAGTTGCAATTAGCGCAGCGATTCCCAGTGAATTGCCCTTCACCGAGTTCATTATCTTCTTTAGAGGTTCTGGCTGTATGTTTGGCTTTTCAAACTCCTCCAGTATCGAACCTAAATTCAACAAACACTGACTCATTAACTTGTAAGTCAACTTTGGAATGTTACTGGCCAACGATCGTAAACCTATAGCTGACCACTGTCTTGTAGATTGATTTCTATCGTTGAGCAAAGAGAACATATAGGTTGAAAGATCGTCATACTGAACGATACCACCTTCACCTAATTGTAATAATAATTGACTTTAGTTTAAATTTAAATAGCAATATAGTAGTTAGTTAATGTCCAGTTGTCTTTAAATGTGAGTACTCATATAAATATCAATACATACGATAATTCTTTTAATGATACAACAATGGTTAGTTCGTTAAAGGTGTCGGCTTGTGATATGATATTTGTAAAGTATCTAACCATTGATTGCTGTCCGTTTTCACTTAGATTCTGACCAAGACCGTGTCTGAGTATATATGATACCGATGTTCTTGTTTGTGCTTGGTCTTGAGCAGTCGACAAGTTTCTATTGCTACTTCCAAGTAACTTTAATAAATGTGATAATATCGAATCGATCTCTTTCTCTAAATCCAACAGCTTTATATTCTGTAATAACTGACAATATGCAATCGATAAATTAATCTTTATCTCTTTCTTATTTGTAGATACTATTATTTAAAAATAGGTTAGTAACTAACGTTTCTAATATTATGATAATAATAATCATTATTATTATGATATTTGTTACTTACTAAATTGATTACCAATGAATTGTAAACAATTCTCTAATGTCCAGTGAGAACGTTGACCAGAGAGTATGTTTGATTTTACGATGCCACCGGTTGTGGTGGTGGTTGTAGAGTGATTGTTGTCTTTGTAGAACAATGAAGCCAGTAGACAACCTAGTAGTTCCGATGCACGTTTGTTGGTGGAGTTGGGTGAGTCGATGTTGCTGGCAGGGTCGGCACTACCACCACCGACAACCGATGTTACATCGAGCGTTGCTTTCAAAATGAAATTCAAAATCTTTTGATCCAAACCATCCATTTTGATATCTGTATTGTTATAATGTTTCACTATTGGTACAACCGATGACAGACACTCCAACTTAAAGTCATTGGTGTTGGTTGCCGTTGGATAGATCGACTTTATCAACTTGAAGCATTCCAAGTGTATTGGATTACCCGATGCACCGATACTCTCCAGCATCATGCCGATCGCACGCATACATCCGACCTTTGCTTCCGATGCCTTTATCAGTCGAACAAACAACTGAAAACTCTCTGACATAAACACAATTGCCAATGTCTTACTATTCTTAAATATAATACCCAATACCTCTGCTAACGCACTATAATAATAATAATAATAATGACTAGTTAGTTAGTACTATACAGTCATAAAATGAATAGATTGTTTAGATTACCTACGATTTAGTATTGGGTGGTGTCTGTTTGGTTGAAAGCGATGTAATTATACTCTTTACTATGGTGGTTGCTACTTTTGATCCGGTGGGCATGTCAAAGAGCCGACTGAGGATGTCTCCGATGATCGTTGACATTGAGATACCGTTCGTCTGTAACAGACAGTTACTTAGGAGAGATATCCACTTTGAAGCATTGTTATCGAGTTCAGTCTTGCTCATACGATCCAAAAGTTGGTCTACATTGCATATGATATCAAACTTTAGCAATTGGTTGTTTGACTTGGTGCCGTCGGCCACCGCTTTACTCAGCGCAACATAATAGTTTTCAAGCGATCCAACAACCGAACTCATTGTCTTGTTTGTTGTTTTGTTGTGTTGTTATACAATGAAATAGATCTATTTTAAGTAAAAAAAAAAAAAAAAACAAAAGAGTGAATTAAAAATTGTTCATAAAAAATGGGAATCTTCAACTTTCATTTAAAAAAAATGATTTTTTTAATTTTTTTTTGATTGGAATAGAATGATTTGTAGTAGATTAAAATAGCAAGAGAATGATTCGAAAAATTAACTAAATTTGATCAAAATATTTTTACCCTCTTTAATTCTAAGGCTATTAAGAAATGAACGTATGTTATACTGAATCTTGGTTTAGTTGTAACCAGTGTCTTGTTAATAATGATCTTATCAGTGCTGGTAATGTCATACTCTTGCACTATCTGAAGTGCTTTCGCTCTGATAGTATCTTCTTTAATCACGTGATCACTCCTGTTACAATTGAATCCTATAAGTCGACAACTATTATCCTACTTCACAAGAGAATGTTACTAATCAATCATTTATTATCTAAGGAAAAATTTAGATAAAGATGATGACCTGCAATATCATTTAGATTTAAATCAACAAATACAATAGAAATATTATTTATAACATTAATAACAATAGCAATATTAATGACTGAAGTAGCAACACTAAGCAATTATAAAATTGAAGTTTTCACGGTTACCAGAATCACCTCCCTCAAGGAAATGGATCATCTTATGGTTGAAACCTCCACGTGGGCAGTTAAGCTTGAATGGCCAAAGGAATCTGTTGACTTCAAGGAAGATCTTTAGAATTCATTACATATTGAGGTCCAGAATTGATTACACCACATGATTCTAACTATCATTCAATTAATTGTTGTTTTGGATCTATTGATCAACTCTGAGAAATAGAACTTTTTAAAAAATCAATTAAATTTAAAATGCAAATCGAATCATTCTCTCTACTTCACTTGAATTGTATAATAAATTAAAATTGATTGTTGAATAATAAATAAAACTGTGAGTTTTTATTGGTAGATGCAACCTTTCAAGAAGCAAGCAAAATAAAAATTTATCAATTTAAAATACCTGCAAATAAAATAAAAGAGACAAGTCAGCGTGTGCCAATAATGTGGTGTGTTTAATTTCTCTGATTTTGAATGATATCAACTTATGTGTGAGTGTTTATTTCTGTGCTGATAAATATATATATATATATATATATCATACACTAAAAAACCACCAATTTTTTCCATTTGGATATTAGTTTATTTTATTAGTAATATGACTGTTAAAAAAAGAACAATAACCAAAATAAATAAACTGGTTTAAATTCATCGCTTGCTTTAAGGTTGCTCCTTCAAAACGAATTAATACCTAATTTCAAATTAATTAAGCTCGTTGTTATATATTTATATAATTATCATATTAATATATTGTATCATCATATCATATCTTATCACGTATATTAATTGTACAGTTACGACTGGTGTAATAGTTGTAATAAATTGAATTAGCTAAATATTGTTTTTTAAGACAACAACCTTTCTTTTTTTAATAACTTAATATTATATATTCAAAAGTACTAAAGTATTAACTTTGTTTAATAATTTTTATTTTTATTAAAAATACCAATTTTATTGAACTATTTTTTACATCAACATTTAACTGTTAATTTATTAGTTTTTTTTTTTATTTATTTAAACAAAGGGTATCACTGAAATTTTGTAAATTAAAACATAGCTACCACATATTTTATTGGGGTTGCAATTTTCGTTATGTCTATTATAGCCAATCGATGTTAATAACAAGTATGATTTTCTAAACAACTCCTATAATCGAACAATAACATTTAAAGCATGAAGTTTATCGTTTCACCTTTTTATACTTACTTGTGAATCACAGAAATTATTATTAAACACGGTGAGTGGTAACAGTAAATAGCTACTAATAGAAATATTTTATCTTTATATGCGACAACAAATTAAGGATCTGAAGTATTATTATAGCTAGAAAGCAAACAAAAAAAAAACCAAAACACAAAAAATGAATTTAACTACATCTGAACAAATTCATTTTAACGACTTAAAATATTTTGATAGAAAAAACATGTGTGTGATTATTCTAAACTTTTTATTAATTTAGTTATAAAAAGGATTAAACTTTAATATTAGTCAATCGATGATTATAACAAGTATGATTTTTTAACTTATTTGAATTTGAAACATTTAAAACGAGTAGTTAAATAGAGTGTGATCACCAATAATCTCTTTCTCAATATATACAGTTAAATGATTTCATATCAATAGTGATTGATTTGTTCTTAATAATCTGATACAATATATATTGTCAGAATCAATTAAATTAACCATTGGTATCTTGTTACTAAAGATAATAATTTTAATCACATTTGAAACAATTTTTATTATTTTTTTGATTATTCGTTGTTATAATTTCATTTAAATCAAAAAAATATTATCAGAATGAAAACAAAAATTTGTTTTTTACAACTACCCACAAATTTCTTTTATCTTTTAGGGTTAATTGATTCACAGTTTTAATTTTTAATTACAAAAAAAGCTGGTGCAAACAAAAATCCAACCTATAAAATGAAATAACACATAGTATTTCCTTTTAAATTTAAATCAAAATGAAATGATCCAATCAAAAAACACTTTTAAACTTGATGTTCACAACAACACTTCAAAAAAATAATTTTTTTTGTATCTTAATGGTGAGATATCAGAGTTTGTGATACGAATCATAACCCCAAATTTGGAAAAGAAAATAATTTAAAAATTTTTTTTTTTATTATAAATATGGAATGAATGAGAGATCATTTTAAAAGTTAATAAATAACTGTAAATAAATAATAGTTTATATTTAATAAATAATAAAGAATAATAAAAATGGATAATAATGATTTAACATCTGGAAATGATGTTGCTGTTGTTGGAATTGGTTTACGTTTTCCAGGAAAAGTAAATTCACCACAACAATTTTGGGAATCACTTGAAAATTCATTCGATGGAATTGTAAAAGTCCCAAAAGAAAGATGGTCAGAGACTTTTCATGAACATGAAATAATTTCAACTGTAAATGCTGGTTTGGTCGAAATGGATGAATGGAAAAAGTTTGATCCATTATTCTTTGAATTATCACCAAAGGATGCTGATGTTCTTGATCCACAAGAAAGAATAATGCTCACTCTTGCTTATGAAGCTTTGGAAGATGCTCAAATCCCAGTGAGATCTCTTCGTCAATCGAATACTGGTGTATTTGTTGGTGTATCACTTATTGATTATCACCAATTACAAAATGGTCCAAGTCAAATTGATACTTTACCAAAGGTATTATGTGATTTCTTCACACATTCTGTGATTGCAAATAGAGTTTCATATTGTTTCGATTTCCGAGGTCCATCGATGTGTGTCGATACTGCATGTTCATCATCTTTGACAACAACAGATCTTGCAATCAAATACATTCAAGATGGTGAATGTGATGTTGCTCTGACATGTGGAATTAATGCTTTGTTTGATCCATTTACAACTAGATTGTATGATAATATTGGTGTTCTTGCAGATCATTGTCGTCCATTCGATCAAGACGCAAACGGATTTGTTCGAGGTGAAGGATGTGGTGTTGTTGTTTTAAAGAAACTTTCATTGGCTGAAAGAGATGGAAATCGAATTTATGCAGTCATCAAAGGAAGAGGAATCAATACTGATGGTCATTGTAATAAGGATACAATGTCAACACCATCAAGTACAACCCAATCTCAGAATATCAAACAAACACTTCAAAGATCAAATATTGATGCTTCACAAATCTATTATGTTGAAGCACATTCAACTGGAACTGTTGTTGGTGATCCAATTGAAGTGAATGCATTGATCGATGTATTCTCTTCAAATCATTCACCAGAAAGACCATTGAAGATTGGATCTGTGAAATCAAATATTGGACATCTTGAAAGTGCTGCTGGAGTTGCATCACTCATCAAAGTATCATTGATGTTAAAGAATCGTAAACTGGTTCCAAGTATCAAATTGAATAATTTCAATCAAAAGATTCCATTCAAACAATCGAATATTCAAGTTATCACTGAAACTGAAGATCTTCCGGATGATCAATTGATCATGATGGGAATCAATTCATTTGGAATTGGAGGATCAAATAGTCATGTCATTCTTCAAGAATATAAAATTGATAAAAATAAATGGTAAGTATTTTTAAATTAAACAAATTTTAATAATGATACTAATTAACAAATTAAAAATTTAGGAATCTAAATGATAATAAAAATAATGATAAATATTATTTGATTCCAATCAGTGCAAATTCATCAACATCAAACGATAAATATTTTGAATTAATCAAAGAATATCAAGATAGAATATCATTGAAAGAATTTGCACTTTATCAATCATTAACAAAATCATTCCATTCTCAAAGAAGAGTTATCATTGCAAAAGATTGGAATGATTTCAATTCAAAATCAGTTGAGATTAATGGTCAATCACCAATCAAAGATTCAATTGGAAAGAAATTGATTTTTGTATTTTGTGGACAAGGACCACAATGGAATCAAATGGGAATGAATCTTTATGAGAATGAACCAATATTCAAATCAACAGTTGATGAATTAGATTCATTACTCAAAGAATATTCTGGATATAGTCTCATTGAAAAGATGAAACAAATTCCAAATGATTCAAATGATATTCACAAACCAATCATTGCACAACCTGCATTATTCTTGTTCCAAGTTGCATTGTTTGAACTTTATCGTTATTCGGGATTGAATCCATCAATTGTTTTTGGTCATAGGTATATATATTAAAAAATAACTAATTTTTAAAAAATATTAACTAATTTAAATATTTTAGTTTTGGAGATATCACATCTGCATATATTTCTGGAAATTTGACATTATCAGATGCAATCAAAGTTGTTCATTTAAGAGCATCATTCCAAAATGAAACAATTGGATCTGGAAGAATGTTAGTTGTTGGAATCAGTTCTGATCATTTCAAAATGAAATAT